CGAGTTTGGGTTTAGGTTTTAGGGTATAGGGTATAGGGCTCTTCACCCAGGCCGTGAGGGGAATGACGTTCCACTCCCAGTGGCTTAGGTCTTCAAGGGGGGAACGCGCAAGAGACCAAGCGCGCGCGTGTCTGATGGGCTCCGCAAGGAAACGAAACTAGGTAGGCCTTCGGGTATGTCTCACTTCTTGGGTTTAAGAGGATCATACACAGGGAATATTTTTTCAGAGCATCCTAGGGAAGGTTGCAGGATGACCGACAAAGATGCATCTTGTGCAGCCAACAAGCATATGGGAAAGCTCCCCCAACGTTTAGGGTGTTAGAGTTTTTGTTTTTGGTTTAGGGTTTAGGGTTTAGGGTTTAGTTTAGGGCCCTTCCGCCCTCAACCGAAACCCTGAACTCTGGACTGCGACATCCAGAATCAAGCAAGGAGGGACTGCGAATTGGCAAACCCAATGCCCTAACCCTTAGAACTCATAATCCCTTAAAATGCTTAAGAGGCCCTATTATACCCTATAATCCCTTAAAAGGCCCTATTATACAACAGGCCCCCTGCAGCGGACTTGGTGCACCTTGCGTCAGTTCGCTCTTGGGGTGGATCTGGATGTTTCCTGCAAGGCTTGGGGCTATAAAGGGGGTCACTCCGCCCTGAACCCCATCCCGAAGAGGGTTTTAGGGTTTCGGTGACATGATCAAAGCCTGAACCCTAAATCCTAAACCCTAAACCCTAATTCCTAACCCGTAAACAGTCTGTGAAACCCAAACCCTGCACCCCCCAATGCTAGACCCTCAGCACTCAAAAGCTTAACAACCCTAAGCCCCTAAACCCGAAAACCCTAAGCTTGGGATGCTCCCCCTTATACTCACACTTCTCAGCACAAAAACGCCACCCTCTACTATAATCACTATTAAGGACTGTTGGGATTAGGGGGAACCCTGAACCCTAAACCCTAAATCCTAAACCCTAAAACCTAAACCCCAAAACCCCAAACCCTAAACCCTAAAAACCCTAAAGCCCTGAAGCCCCGAAGGTGTCGGAGCTGCAAGATGGGTTTGGACTGGAGGCAGGATGCGTGCCGCGTAGATTTTTCAGGCTTGGGGTTGGGTTTAGGGCTTGGGGTTTAGGGTTTAGGGTTTAGGGTCTAGGGCTTGCCAAGGTCAGTGAAGTGAAGGAAGATGGCCACATTCCCTCCTTGAACAAGGAGACGAGCTGGGCGCCATTCATGAACAGATTTTTCCCCTGAAGCCCAACCTTGGGGTTTAGGGTTTAGGGTTTAGGGTTTCGGGTTTAGGGTTTAGGTTTAGGGTTTCGGGTTTAAGGATTTCTCAAAGGGACCCTACTTGGAGGCTCACAGTACTTGCTAGCCCAACTGCAACCGTGCGTTCTAGGCCAATGAGAACCATGCCATGGCACTCAAGGGGCTTAAAAGTCACAAGTGGGTTGTTTAGGGTTTAGGGTTTGGGGTTCAGGGTTTAGGGTTGAGGGTTAAGGTTTTGAAGTTTTGAAGTGCAGTGACAGCTGGGAAGCACCATGAGCCTCCCTAAGGCCGGGTGCTGCCCAATTCAGAGAAACCCTATACCCTAAACCCTAAACCCTAAACCCTAAACCCTAAACCCTAAACCCTAAACCTTAAACATCCGTGGTTCAGAAAGCAGCAAGGGCAGAAACAGCAAACAGCGAAGGGGAATCAGCATCCATGGACAGCCGTGCATTTACATTGGCCTCTCTTGGCTTTAGGGGCTTTTAAGGATTTAGGGTTTAGGGTTTTTGTAGGGGTTTTTGCGGGTTTAGAGTTTGGGTTTTTTTAGGGTATAGGTTTTTTTGGTTTAGGCCTCAGGTTTTTTTTAGGCTGTAGGGGCTTTAGGATTTAGGGTTTAGAGTTTAGGAGCTTTTGGGGTTTAGGGTTTCGGGGGCTTTAGGGTTTAGGGTTTTTTTAGGGTTTTTTCGGGTTTTTAGGGTTTAAGGTTTTTCGGGGGGCTTTTGGGGTTTAGGGGTTTTTAACCACCCCCCCCGTCCCATTTGCAAACACAATGCGAGTGATGGGTTCGAAACAAAATAAAGCAGGGGGTTGGGGGGGGGGGGGGGGTTGGGTTGGGGGGGGGGGGGGGGGGCAGCCCACACTCACACACCCGCATGATGGGTGTGAAAAAATGTGCCTATGCTTAGGGTTTTTTAGGGTTTAGGGTTTTTTGCAGTTTGAATTTATTAGGGTTAAGGGCTTAGAGGTTTTTTAGGGTTTAGAGTTTTCGGGGTTTGAAGTTGAGGGGTTTTTAGGGTTTTGGGTTTTTTGGGTTTAGAGCTCAGGGGTTCTTAGGGTGTAGGGCTTAGGGCTTTTGGGGTTCAGGGTTTAGGGTTTAGGGTTAAGGCCAGGGTTTTTAGGGTTTAGGGTTCAGGGGTTTTGAGGGTTTTTAGGGTTTAGGGTGTTTTAAGGGTTTAGGGTTTAGGGTTTTTAGGGTTCAGGGTTTCAGGTTTCATTGGTTTAGGGCTGGGTAAAGGGTTTAGTTTTTTTTAGGGATTTGGGTTTGCTAGGGCTTAGGCTTAGGTTTTTTTTAGGGTTTAGGGTTCAGGGTTTGTTTAGTGTTGCGGGCTCCGGGGTTTTTCGGGTTTAGGGTTAAGGGTGTTTTTTAGCGGTTCAGGGCTTCGGATTTTAGGGTTTTAGGGTTTAGTTTTTTTTTTTAAGACCTGCAGTAGCAGAATGCACAGAAAAAGATGCCTTGCGTTGTTCGTGACTTTGTTTTCTAAAGCACACCCCTAAACCCTATCATCTTACCTAGGTTAGGTTGGGTTAGGTTGGGGCATGTTACGGTTGGGTTGGGTAGGTTAGGTTAGGTTAGGTTAGGTTGGGTTAGGTTAGGTTAGGTTCCCCTAGGTTGGGTGATTAGGTTGGGGTGGGTTTGCTGATTCGTCCCCTGCTGGTTTTTGATTTGCCCTTTCTTGTTTTCTGATTTGTCCTCATGCTTGCTGAGTCATGCTTGGCTGATTCGCCCGTCACCCCCTTAAGCCCTAAGCCCTAAGCCCTAAGCCCTAAGCCCTAAGCCCTAAGCCCTAAGCCCTAAGCCCTAAGCCCTAAGCCCTAAGCCCTAAACCCTAAACCCTAAACCCCAGGATGTGGCTTCTGACATCGGACGCCCGCAGCCCCTGCCCTTGTTGCGACCACCCACACTTGTTCATGGTACTTCTGACCAACTGTACTTCTAACCACTGCTAAGCTCCTGAACTCTGCCCTAACATGGCTATAATCGGGTTATAGTGCAGCTAGCATTGGGGTTAATAAGCGCCTTTAGGGTTTAGGGTTTAGGGTTTAGGGTTTAGGGTTTAGGGTTTAGGGTTTAGGGTTTAGGGTTTAGGGTTTAGGGCGCCATGAACCGCCAAGCAGGAACGGCCTGGCTGCATCAAGAAGGGCGATCGCATTGTTGCTGTGAACGGCTGCTCAGCTGAATGAGACCGGTCGGCTTTCACATTTTGATGCCTAAACTTAATCCCTTCCCCGTAAACCCTGAACCCTGAACCCTGAACCCTGAACCCTGAACCCTGAACCCTGAACCCTGAACCCTGAACCCTGAACCCTGAACCCTGAACCCTGAACCCTGAACCCTGAACCCTGAACCCTGAACCCTAAACCCTAAACCCTAAACCCTAACCGCCCTGAACCCTGACCACCGAGCCGCAGCCCTGTCAGGAAGTCAATCGGACTCAAGGCTGCTGTTCAATTCGATTTCCGATCCCGGCGACAAGGACCAGAAGTGCGGGTTGGGTCCAAGGGTTTCGGGTCGAGAGTTTAGGGTTTAGGGTTTCGGGTTTCGGGTTTAGGGTTTAGGGTTTAGGGTTTAGGGGGTTTCGGGTTTCGGGTTTAAAGATCTGGGACCATCCAGGGAGTATGCCGTGTCGGGCTTGACTGGCGTAGAATGAAACCCGTGAGGTGTGGCCTTCAAGCGATCACGATGTGAAGGGTTTAGGGTTTAGGGTTTAGGGTTTAGGGTTTAGGGTTTAGGGTTTAGGGTTTAGGGTTTAGGGTTTGCCATCAATCTTCAGGAGCTTGTGATCTTCACCTATGCCTGACCGGCCCTGTGCCCAGTGCCCCTGGTGTACGATCGACTTGTTTTAAAGCGGAACATGTACAGCGTCGTGCACCTACCGGTCGTCTGGCGCCGGGTTTCACGAGACAACATCTTTCCGGGGGTTCCTTTTTTAAGACCGACCTCAGAGGCGCACCTCATATGCCACTTCAGAGTGATGAGCTTGACACTCCAAGAGATCCCAAGAGATTGGTGCAAGGAGCTTGCGCCCAAGTGCACGTTGACATAGTCCACCCCCCGCGGTTTTACTACCCAAAAAAAGTCCCCTCCTGGCCGCTTGTGTCAGAGAGCCCTTTGTAGGGAATATTCCATAAGTCACTATAATAATAAGGAATAAGGATCCTTAGTATAATTAAAGGGCCTTTTCCTTCATCAAGGGTACAAAGGGCTCTCCGGGTGTGGAAGGAGGGTGGGCGAGATTCACTGGAAGGGGATTTGGCAAGGCGCTGGTTCGAGCTGGAAAACCCCGAAGGGGTTTTCTGCCACATCCAGTGCCTGTTCGAGCAAAGTCTGCGCTCACATACACGAGGCTACGTCGGCTACGCGCGGACGACAAACCCTGGGGTGTCGATGTGCTTGCGGCCCAGACCCTCTGCCCTAAACCCCGGTAAGACCCTAGACCCCAAACCCTGCTTGCAAGCTCTTTTCCCCTAACAACCCTCTTATCATCCATATAACCCAGGTTACTAACCCTACTTACAAAGTCAAAAGGACTTGGCAAGTGAACCCTGCACCCTCAGCCCTAAACTCCAAACCCTGACCCCCCCCCCGCTCCCCCTAGAGTCCCCTAAACCCTAAACCCTAAACCCTAAACCCTAAACCCTAAACCCTAAACCCTAAAACCTACTGTAAACCCCAACCCTAAACCCCAAACCCTAAACCCCAAACCCTAAACCCTGAACCCTAAACCCTTTGTGTTGGCAGGGTCCAAGCGGACGGTTCTACGGCTGGATTGCGGATCTTCGCCGGGGCAAGGCCTGCTTTCCCACAAGTTTGGGGTGCAGGGTCTAGGGCGTGCCAAACGCAAGCGCGCTTTGGGAGCACGCGGTAGTCTGCAGACCTACCCACCCCAAGACCGCCCACCTACAACTCTCAAGGAGTTAAGACTTTTCATTTTTATTCAAAGCATCACATGAGTCAGCACTCACGCCCTTTTGGGGACCTCCACAAGGTGCGTGGACCAGGAACAAAGCTGCAGCAGGGCCAGGACGAGGCCGGAGGCAGGAAGACACCAGTACCGGGCATTTGCGATGCGCGGACGGAAAGGCGAGGCAGGGTCAGCGAAGACAGCTTGGGTTGGCGCGAAGGGGCTAACTAAGGCCAGGGATGGGCCAGGAACAGACAAAGGCAGCGAGGCTTGGTTGGCGCGAAGGGGCTAAAGCCAGGGAGGCAGGGCCAGGGAACGCGCGAAGCGAGTGGACAGCTGGGTTGGGCAGAGGGCCACGGAAACAGGGCAGGTGTGCCGGGCCAGCCAGGGCCAGGGCAAGGACAGAGCTTCTTTTTGGCCAGAGCCCTGCCTGCCCCAACAAAACGGCCCCTGGTCCCCGCAGCCCAGCGGACGGGGGGTCAGGACCCAGGAGTCTCCAGGGGCCCTCCCAGGGGGCCTCCCTCACAGGGTCTCACCAGCTAGGGTGGTGGGCGGGTTTAGGGTCTCGGGTTTAGGGTTTAGGGCTTAGGGTTTAGGATGTAGGGTTCAGGGTTTCGGGTTCAGGGAAACCCAAACACTCGGGACAATACACCCTAAACCCTAAACACTAAACCCTAAACCCTAAACTCTAAACCCTAAACCCTAAACCCTAAACCCTAAACCCTAAACCCTAAACCCTAAACCCTAAACCTTAAACCCTACCCTGCCGATGAGCACCTTACGCGTCCGAACGAAGAGCAAGTGAGGCCCCAAACAGAGCCCAGGGTGCAAGGAAAAAAAGAGTTCTCCACACAAAGGGCTGATGCAAGAAGCACAGCTCGCCCAACACCTGGCCAGCACTTTCACCCGTGCAACTCCGCGGACCCCAAAACCCTGTGTACAATTCTTTGCAAACCCTAAACCCTAAACCCTAAACCCTACACCCTAAACCCTAAACCCTAAACCCTAAACCCGAAGCCCGAAGCCCTAACCCCTAAACCCACCGCAGTTTTCTGAACCCTAAGCCCTAAACCCTAGGCCCTAGACCCTCAACCCTAAAACCCCAGAACCCGTTAGGGTGGGTTTACTCCTTGCCACCACTTCGCCCCTGCCCTTGGGTCCAGGCATCGGTCATCAAACTGCCGAGCAGCGAGGCCCGCGTTCAGTAGCCAGCTACTCATATGGGTGGTTGTCAAAATTATGGTGCCCTTTTGGATCCTTATTATAATCCTTATTATCATGCGGCACCTAATATTCAGGGTACCCCAAAAAAGGGATCATAATTCTGACAGCCACCCATATAACGATCGAGAAATATCATAGTGTAGAAATATCATGATAGAATAATATCACAATTTCACAATCTAAAGAATGACAAAATGACAACACAATATAACGATCGAGAAATATCATAGTGTAGAAATATCATGATAGAATAATATCACAATTTCACAATATAAAGAATGACAAAATGACAGCACAATACCACAATATCACCTCAGGACAACAATGTGACATTATGATGTAAGGCCCAGGAATATCTCTTGCAACGTCTTCCCGCTTTTCCTACCACGTGCTCGATGCACTTAAGCCCTAGACCCTAGAATCTTGGCCCCTAAGAGTTCGGGTTTAGGGTTTAGGGTTTAGGGTTTAGGGTTTAGGGTTTAGGGTTTAGGGTTTAGGGTTTAGGGTTTAGGGTTTAGGGCCGCGATGCGCCGGCCTCTTCTGCAGCACTTGCAGCAGGCGAACCTCTTCGTTCCTCTGGGCCAGGTTCTGAGAACGATGCTAAGCCCCAAGCCCTAAACCCTAAACCCTAAACCCTAAACCCTAAACCCTAAACCCTAAACCCTAAACCCTCTCAACCCCAAAACCAAGGAATGAAGTATGTCAAGAAGAGAACCCTAAACCCTAATTGAACCCCAAACCAAACCCTGAAACCCTAAACCGCCACCCCGAACCCGAAACCCCAAACCACAGAAGGGCGAGGGTCTAGGGTTTCTTGGGATCTGGTAGGGTTCACTAAGGACTCTTGGGAGGATTTGGGTCCCTAAACCCTAAACCATATATCTGTTGTCCGCTTGGAGAGCACCCGGGTTTTGCAGCCGCCTCGTCCTCAGACCCTTAAGGGTTCAGAAGGCTCCCAAAATTTGGATCTAGGGCGTTTTGGGTTTCTTTCCCTAAAATGCCAACAAATCCTAGTAAGCCCTAATAAGCCCTAGAAAACATGTTGAGGACCTAGCGTCTCAAACAAAAAGCATTATCAACAAAAAACCATTAAGTTCCAGGGTTTAGGGCTTTACCCCGCAACCTTAAGACCTAAACCCTAAGCCCCACATCCCACACCCCAAATGAGTCCTAAGCCCTAACAACTAAACCCTAAACCCTAAACCCTAAACCCTAAACCCTAAACCCCAAACACTAAACCCTAAACACTAAACCCTAAACCCTAAACCCTAAACCCTGAACCCTGAACCCTAAACCCTAAACCCTAAACCCTGATCCCTAGGTCGTTCGGGCTTGCCCATGACTCGGGCATCAGCTGAGTCCCAGGAGGCCCATCTTTTGAACTTCGCCTTGTGGATAAACAGCCATAGCATTTAGGGTTTAGGGTTTAGGGTTTAGGGGTGTAGGGTTTAGGGTTTAGGGTTTAGGGTTTAGGGGTGTAGGTTTTAGTGTTTAACCCTGTGATTTCGGGTTTAGGGGTTTAGGTTTTAGGGTTTAGCCCTGTGATTCCGGGTTTTTAGGCGTTTAGGGTTTAGGGGTTTAGGTTTTCGGGTTTAACCCTGTGATTTCGGGTTTAGGCGTTTAGGGTTTAGGGGTTTAGGTTTTAGGGTTTAACCCTGTGATTTCGGGCTTAGGCGTTTAGGTTTCAGGGCTTAGGGTTTAGGGCTTTGGGTTTTTGCTAACCCCCTTCCCAAGATGCAACCCTTAATCGTTCAACCCTGAACACCTCAGCCCCAATAAAGCCCGCCATCGGTGCCCTTAACATCTAAACCACCTCAGGTTTAGGATCTAAGCCTCGGGATAAAACCCTAAACCCTAACCCCAAACCCCTAACCCCTAGCCCCTAGCCCCTAAGCCCTAACCCCTAACCCCTAACCCCTAAACCCTAAACCCTAGACCCTAAACCCTAAACCCAAATCCCTAAACCACTCTATCGTATATAATATAAATGTTCATGACTTTGCGGGCAAGGTCATCAGGGTAGCGGGCAAAGTCATATAGTTTTGCGGGCAAGGTCGTATACTTAGTGGGCCAGGTCATTCAATCAGCGGGCAAGGTCATAAAACCAGTGGGCAAGGTCCGTTGGCTGACCCATGACCTTGTGCCCGCTAATTTCAATGACCTTGCCTAATCTCATGACCCGGGCAAAGTCATAAACTTTGCGGGCAAGGTCATAATTAGCGGGCAATGTCATAAATTTAGTGGGCAAGGTCATAAAATTCGCGGGCAAGATGATACATTTGGCGGGCCAGGTCATAAAATTAGCGGGCACCAAGGTCATAGAATTAGCGGGTAAGGTCATAAAATTAGGGGGCAAGCCCCCCCCCCCCCCCCCCCCCCCCCCCCCCCCCCCCCCCCCCCCCCCCCGCTGCACTTGAGCCGGGTGCCTTAAGGTTTAAGGCTTAGGGCCCCAGAGTCTGGAGCCTAAGGTTTGGGGATTGAGTGAACTTTGTATTTTCTGAATGTTATGGCATTCTTCGGGGTTTTTCCTCGAGAATTGCTTGCCTACAAAAAGCTAGAACATGAGATGCTGAACCCATCTGAACCCTAAACCCTAAGTCCTAAACTCTAAACACTAAACCCTAAGCCCTAAACCTTAAACCCTAAGCCCTAAACCCTAAACCCAGCAGGTGCTGGTGGGCTTCACTGTGCCAGATGGTGCAAGCACAAACTTTTCCTGGAAGCCTGCTGAAATCCGTGGTCTAAGGGGTTTAGGGTTTAGGGTTTTGGGTTTAGGGTTTAGGGTTTAGGGTGGTCTAGACAAAGGTTTCGATTTTCAGGTTTTGCTCTTCTCTGACGCACCTGCATCCTTCGAGCCCAAACCTTAAACCCTAAACCCGAAGCCCTAAGCCCCTATAGCCTTGCCAAGGCGTCCTAAACCCGAAGCCCCACGCAGCTGCCGTGAGCATTCACGACGCGCAGGGTGCGTAACCCCCCCCTCCCAGACCCTAACACCCTACAACCCGAAACCCTACTTGGAGGTTACCTAGAACCCAATTATAACCATGTTAGGGCACAAAAGGGGGCTTATAAGTTGGTTATAAGTACACTTAGAATTGGGTCAATCAATACCACGAACCTCCAAGTAGAAATCAGGACGTGGTGCAGCACTCTGTCTGGAGACACTGCAGACGCTGGCGATGGCTTGGCCACGAGCGAGTGGCGCGAAGTCGCTCTGTCGAAGCAGGGCAACATCGTGGCTCAGAGCACTTTGCAGGTTCTAGGGGCTTTAGGGGCTTTAGGGCTTTTTGGGGCTTTGGGGCTTTAGGGGCTTTAGGGGCTTTAGGGGCTTTAGCGGCTTGGGGTTTGGGCGGTTTAGGGTTTAGGGTTTAGGGTTTAGGGTTTAGGGTTTAGGGTTTAGGGTTTAGGGGGTTCGTAGCGGTTTAGGGTGACCCCAAACCCCACAGCCTTCCCTAAAGCCCAGTACCTTCTGATCAACGACTTCAGCAAGTTGGTTTAGGGTTTAGGGTTTAGGTTTGGGTTCCCTGAAATCGAGATCTTGGCGTGAATCCAGGATGCGGTACTTCTGTCAAACGGCACGGTCCTCCGGCGGAGTGGCGACGGCTGGCTAGACCTTGGTTACTTGCCTTCGTGTTCAGGGCATCCCTGAACCCTAAATCCTAAACCGTAAACCCTAAACCCTAAACCCCCAAACCCTCAACCCTAAACCCTAAACCCCAAACCCTCAACCCTAAACCCCAAACCCTAAACCCTAAACCCTGAACCCTTTGGGGTTTCGGGTCAGTGGGTAAGGTTTTGGGGAGCCCTGCGGTGATGGCGTCAGGAGTCTGCTAGCCCAAAATGCCGCTTAGTGAAGGCATCCACCGTCGACTCTATAGGGTGAAGCCTTCGGTTAGGACCCAGAGTAGGGTTTAGGGTTTAGGGTTTAGGGTTTAGGGTTTAGGGTTTAGGGTGTAGGGGTTTAAGGGTTTAGGGGTTAGGGTTTTAGGGTTTAAGGGTTTGAGGGTTTGAGGGTTTAGGGTTTCAGGGTTTCAGGGTTTTAGGGTTTTAGGGTTTTAGGGTTTTAGGGTTTTAGGGTTTTAGGGTTTTAGGGTTTTAGGGTTTTAGGGTTTTAGGGTTTTAGGGTTTTAGGGTTTAGGGTTTCTCGGAGGTTCATGGTAACCCCAGACTGTACTTATAACCCACTTATAACCACATTGCGGCACATGAAGGGCTCATAAGTGGGTTATAAGTACAATTCTGATTGGGTTATAAGTACCATGAACCTCCAAGTAGGGTTTAGGTCATCATCGGGTTTGAAGTCTGGAGAAATAGCTCAAGTAAGGAGGGTATTGGGTTTTCCGGGGCCCTCAACCCCCCCCCCCCCCCAAGCCCAAAACTCTAAACCACTAGCCCAACACCCCCAACCTAGCCCCTCAAGAAGCCCGAACCCTCAAAACGTAGACCCTCCAAACCCACACAAACCTCCAAAACGCCTGGCTCACAAAACCTTCAAAATGCTTCAAAACCCTCAAGAACCAGTCTCTAAACTCCCAAAACCCTCAACACCCGAACCCCCCCTAACCCCTAACCCCTAACCCCTAACCCCTAACCCCTAAACCCTAAACCCTAAACCCTAAAATCCTAAGCCCTAAACCCTAAAACCCTAAGCCCTAAGCCCTAAACCCTAAACCCTAAAACCCTCAGCCCTAAGCCCTAAGCCCTAAACCCTAAACCCTAAACCCTAAGCCCACGAAGTCCGGAGGTGCTCTGGACCTCGATGCAGCAGCGCTGAGCGCCTCCCTCGCCTCGCAGCCTCTTCTGCCCCAGGAGCGCTTCCAGGGTTCAGGAGTTCAATGGTTTAAGGTTTCGGGCTCAGGAGTTCAAGGGTTTAGGGTTTAGGGTTTAGGGTTTAGGGTTTAGGGTTTAGGGCTCAGGAGTTCAATGGTTTAAGGTTTAGGGTTTTTAGGGTTTAGGGTTTAGGGGTTTAGGGTTTAGGATATTCCTTCCCCACCCCGGACAAGTGGTATTCTATTCAGGGTACATTCAGGGGTACCCCCCCTATCTTGGAACATACCCACATTGTCTTAGTCGCTTGAGCCTCCCCCTGGGTATTTGTGCCCGGAAGCCTGGAATAAGCAGTTCAGGGGGGCCCATTGCCTCGCTGGGGTTGGGTTTAGGGTTCAGGGTTCAGGGTTCAGGGTTCAGGGTTTAGGGTTTAGGGTTTAGGGTTTAGGGTTTAGGGAGCTTCTGATAACTGTGGCAGAAATGTGGCCTGAAGTCGTGGGCCGGGGGGTGTGGCACCGGAATGTCAGTCCTTGCAATTGGCGTTTTAAGGACAACGTAGGGGAGGCTCGAGGTGGTGTTTTTTTGTTTTGGGTTTGGGGGTTCAGCGCTTTTTTGGGTGGGTTCAGGCGCTTGAAGAGATAGTTTCGTTTGAGGATGATTTTCAAACAGGGGATGTAGGGTTTGGGGGTTCGCAGCTGCTCTTTGGGATTGAGGGTTTGGGTGTTTGAAGTTTGGAAATGTGTGTGTTTCCGGGTTTTGGGCGTATGGCAGTTAAACCCTAAACTCTAAACCCTAAGCCCTAAACCCTATATAAACCCTGAACCCTATATAAACCCTATATAAACCCTATACAAGCCCTGCATAAACTCTGAACCCTAGTTAAAGTTAAGGGTTTACGGATTCTTAGGCCTCTGCTGCAGGAGCACTTGGCGGCTTGGCTGCAGGAACCAAGCTTTGGTCAACGTTGAGTCTTATGAGGGTTCAGGGTCTAGGGTCTAGGGTTTAGGGTTTAGGGTTTAGGGTTTAGGGTTTAGGGGAGGTTTTATCGGTTGAGGGTTTGAGGGCATGTGAGGGTTCTTTGGACAAGGGCGTATAGGGCGATTTTCGGGCTTCTGGGTTGTGGGAGGTCGGGCCCGGAGCCCGAAACCCTAAACGGTTTAGGCTTTAGGGTTTAGGGTTTAGGGTTTAGGGTTGACCTGTTTAGGGCTTCGGGCCGGTGAGGGTTGTGGGCGGCTTCAGGGGTCGCTTGATTCAGAATTTTCAGAGTTTCTTTTGGGGCTTGTAGGGCTTTAGGGTCTTGGATAGGGGTTTTGGGGATTGCGGGTTTTCGGGTCTTTTTGGAGAGCCTGCGTGACTTTTGGCCAGATGCGCAGGTATCTACCACGCCTCGGGGAGCACTTGTCATCGACACCGCCGCCGGAGGAAACCTTCCGGAGCATCATCCTCAAGCAGGAGACCTGGACTCAGATATTCAGAGGGCTGAAGACTCAGACCTCGCTACCTGGGTTCTGGAGCAAGCGGTTTTGCGACAGACGTCTGCTTTGGTGCGGCTGTCGGCAGAGAAGGCTCCTCAGCCGATTTTTGTGCATCCCTTTGCCGACGTGCTGGCGAATCTTGGGGCGATATATCTTCAGCTTTTTCCATGTCCAAAACCCTAAGCCCTAAGCCCTAAGCCTTAAGCCCTAAGCCCTAAGCCCTAAGCCCTCAGCCCTAAGCCCTAAGCCCTAAGCCCTAAACCCTAAGCAGCCAAGGAGTGGAGTTTGGATCAATCCAGACACAGTGCCTGGGACCTCCAACACCATCAGCTGCGGGGATCACCTAAACCCATGGAGCCCTGCAGGGTTTAGGGTTTAGGGTTTCGGGTTTAGGGTTTAGGGCTTAGGGCTTAGGGCTTTGGGCTTAGGTGGCAGGGTTTAGGGTTCAGGGTGTAGAAGATACCTTTACACTATACAGGGCTCGTCATCAGGTACCCCTCGAAGTCCGGGGCCCTTGCCGGAGCCCTAAAGAAGAAGAAATGCAACGAAAATCAGACGACCAAGAAGGACCCGTAATTCAGATGCAGGGTTTAGGTAGCTTGAAGATTAGGCGTGAGTTTACTTGGAGGTTCGTGGTACTTACTAACCCAAGTATCTCCGCATCCATAACCCAACTAGAACCATGTTAGGGCACTTGGAGGGGACTTGAAGTGGTTATACGTGCAATTCCTACTAATTTGCTTAAGAACTCCCAAAAAGATAAAAGATATTCTTCCGTTTTATGGGTAATGTAGTTTTTTTTTGTTTAAAAACTCTTTTGGGGCTCTTAAGCAAATAGTAGATTCTAGCTGGGGTATAAGCACCATGAACCTCCAAGTAGGGGTTTTGCAGGCTTTGAATGGCCTTGACATTCATCGAAACCCGAAACCCTAAACCCTAAACCCGAAACCCTAAACCGTAAACCCCAAACCCTAAACCCTCAACCCTAAACCCTCAACCCCAAACCCTAAACCCCAAACCCGAAACCCCAAACCCCAACCCCTAGAGCCGGAAGAACCCGAATACCCTAATGCCCTGCTTGGAGTTTCATGGTCCGTACAACGCAGTTATAGCTGTACTTATAACCCACTTGTGGGGGTTTAGGGTTTAGGGTTTAAGGTTTAGGGTTTAGGGCCCCTTAAGTGCCCTAACATGGTTTTATTTGGGCTATAGGTGAAGGTATGATTGGTTTGAAGAAGTACCATGAACCTCCAAGTAAACCCACCCGAGAACCTAAATGCCCTAAAGCCCTCTGGTTCAGGAAGCCTAGGCTTTAGGGTTTAGTGCTTAGGGTCCAGGGTTTAAACGCTTAGAGGGTTTTGGTGAGTACGCGCTTGCGTGTCTTCGTGCGTGGGGAGGGGTTGATCCAAAAAATAGGTTTTTTTTTGTACTCCCTACATGCCTTTTCAAGTGAAGAGCTAAGCGCCTCACACCCTAAACCCTAGACCCCAAGCACTAAACCCTAAACCCTAAAACCCTGTAGCTCTTACCGAGAGCCCCCTGTGCCTTGCTTGCTGGCAAGGAAGATGTTGAGGCAGTGTCGGTGCAAGATCTGAAGCCAAAGACATACAGCCTCTCAAGCGAGCACAGCCGCCAGCTCCAGTCGCTGCGCGCCCACTTGCCTGCCGAGATTCAGCTGTACGATGTTCCAGTGGCGACTGCTGCCTGGTAGAAGGGCTTTGCTCAAGCGTGTCCTTTTTGTTGGCTATTTAGTCTCATGCTCAGTCGTATGGCTCTGTTGCTCAATATGGCCAAAGTTTCATGAACCCCTAAACCCCTAAACCCCCTTAACTGTTAGCCGAGAGCTGTTGGCCGCTCCCATGTGCATTAGTCTATTGTTGTTTTTGTTATTCAGGTTACTACTTTTTGAAGCTTGGTTGTCGTTGTTATTATTGTTATTGTTGCTTCTGCTGTTATTGTTGTTATTGTTGTCATTTATGTTATGGTTTGCCATGATCGGCTTTCGTTGATTTGAGTATCGCTGGTGCTGCAAGCATTGTTCTTTTTTTGCATGGCATATTCTTCTTCTTCTTCTTCTTGTTCTTATTCTTCAGCTTCTTCCTCCTCTTCTTCTTCTTCTTCTTATGATTCTGATGTGATTTAAGTTTGTTTTTAGAGTGTCGGTTAATATTGTTAATGTTATTTATGATTGTAACCACTGTTATTCTGTTATTAAGGTGCTTGGCCCCGATGCCCTGCAAACGCCCCAAATCGACATGCCATGCATCGGTATTGGCAGTGTACCCGAAACCCGAAACCCGAAACCCGAAACCCGAAACCCGAAACCCTAAACCCGAAACCCTAAACCCTAAACCCGAAACCCGAAACCCTAAACCCTAAACCCTAAAACCCGCTGGTTCAAGGCTGCCATGGAGCTGGTCTCATTGCAGACCCATGGCGAGCGATGCTTGGTAGCTCAGTGGGGGCCCTTTTGCGTTCAAGGTGGGTTTAGGGTTTAGGGTTTAGGGTTTAGGGTTTAGGGTTTCCCTTATGAAGTATCCAACGCCCCAAAAGGGTACCCTTGCTGCAAGCTTGTTTTTGTGGGCTACCAAGGATGTGTTGCATTTTTCGCACATCCGCTTCTGTCAGATTTGGTGGCCCTCCCCGCGGTTCCTTGGCTATGTTGTGTTTGCAGTGCAGCTGTGGGGGGGGGGGAAAAGGTTGCCCGATGCCTAGGCCCTAAAAGGGTTTAGGGTTTAGGGTTTTGGGTTTAGGGCCTGAACGCTACCTGGCCCCTGCACCTCAGGTCGTGAAAGCCGGCAAGTTCACATGGCTGGGACGGAGTGCTCTTCCGACCAGAGGTGCCGTGGGATTGACATGGCTGTGATCCCAAGCGCTGTCGCGCCTTCAACCCTAAACCTTAAAGCCCTCAAACAATCGAAACCTCTTACTCTCAACCCTACAACCCTAAACCCTTAAACCCCAAAGCCCCGAAACCCTCAAACCTCAAAAACACATCCCTGAAACCCTGACACCCTCCTTAAAACCCTAAACCTCTAGAACCATCAAAACCCATCATAGCCCCCAAGCCCACAGACCCTTGAAAAACCTAAACCCTAAGTCCTAAACCCTAAGTGCTGAACCCTAAGCCCTCAACCCTGAACCTTGAACCCTAACTCTAAGCCCTAAACCCTAAACCCTAAACGCTAAGCCCTAAGCCCTAAGCCCTAAACCCTAAACCCTAAACCCTAAACCCGAAACCCGAAACCCTAAACCCTAAACCCTAAACCCTAAACCCTAAACCCTAAACCCTAAACCCTAAACCCCGAGGTGCTGCTCTCAACTCCGCAGCTGCAGCCTTGAAGCCGAAGCTGGAGGGTCACAGGACCTGGGTTTAGGGGGTTAGGGGTTTAGGGTTTAGGGTTTAGGGTTTAGGGTGTAGGTCTTAGGGTGTAGGGTTTCGGGGTTTAGGCCGTGGGTTCTGGGTTTTCTTGGGTTCTGAGGCGGTCTTGAGTTTTGATGGCTTTAAGCGGTTGTGGGGCCTTAAGGCTGTTGTTTCTTTTGGTTTTCACGGGGGTATAGGGGTAGTAGGGGTTTAGGTTGGTTTTTGGTCTTCAGGGGGTTATGGGGGTTTCAATGGCCTTGGGGTTTTAGGGTTTAGGGTTTAGGGTTTAGGGTTTAGGGTTATAGGGCTTTAAGGGTTTCATGTTTCGGGTTTTTTAAGGGGGGGTTGATATTGGGGTTGTAAGGCTTTAGGTTTCTTGGTTCTTAAAGGGGTTATGGGGGTTTTAATTGGTGTTGGGGGTTGCAGGGCTTTAATTATATAAGGGTCTTGTGTTTTAAGGGGGGGGGTTATAGGAGTTGTAAGGTCTTGATTTGTAGTTCCTTGGGCTTTAGAGTTTTAGGTGTTTGCGGGCGTAGGGATTGAGGGTTTGCAGGGGATTTAGGGTTTTTAGGGTTATTAATGGTTTAGGGTTGCAGAAGTGTAAGGTTCTAATGGCTTTAGGGATGTAGGGTTTTGGGGTTCAAAGGTCATAGGGCTTAGGGTTTTAATTGCCTTTAGGGCATTGTCATGGGTTTCCCTACTACAACCCTAACCTTAGTAAAATGCTCAATTCAGGGGGGAACCTATGGGGGCGGGCGGGTGGGGGGGGGGGAGCCGTGCCTTGGACGCTTATCGTCTATTCTGCGCGCGCTCTTTGTTTTCTTGGATTCTTCCCGAAAACCAATTCTGAAATTGGGCTCTCGTTTGGCGCTTCAAAGCGGAAGGTGTTCTATCGGATCGCTTCTTGGAGGAGGGTCGGACGGGAGGCCGCGGAGACGACACGGTCAAGGGAGGGGGTTCGGAACATTTTGCTGGGAGAGGGGCGTGGCGTGGGGAGGCGTGGACCATGCATGGAGGTTGAGGGGGGGAGCACGGATGGGGAGCGTGACATTCGGTTTCAGAGGATGCCCCTCCGCACCTCTGTGTTTGCAAGCCCTCCGCGCCATCCGCCCTCCTCCGTGCCCTCCTCCGTGCCCTCCTCCGTGCCCTCCTCCGCGTCCTCCTCCGCGCCCTCCTCCGCGCCCTCCGCGCGCTCCGCGCCCTCCGCGCCCTCCGCGCCCTCCGCGCCCTCCGCGCCCTCCGCACCCTCCGCGCCCTCCGCGCCCTCTGCGCCCTCCGCGCCCTCCGCGCCCTCCGCGCCCTCCGCGCCCTCCGCGCCCTCCCCCATTTTGTTGATTCCAGGTGTGTTGCGTCTATTCTGCGGGTACGTTGCGTCTATTCTGCGGGTACGTTGCGTCTATTCTGCGGGTGTTTGCTTTGCAAAGTATTTGTTTACAAGGCACGCACGTGCAGCATAGACTCTAAGTGTCCATCTTACGGGGGGGAGCCCTACACCCTAAACCCTAAACCCTAAACCCCAAACCCTAAACCCTAAACCCTTCAAGGGAGCAGCGGAACCATGACATTAGGGCTTTCCGGGGTTTAGCTTTCTTGGAGGCCATGAAGGACAGGGCCACCAGGGTTTGGGGTTTGTGGTGTTCGACTCAGGGTTGGAAGTTGGGGTCTAGGGTTTAGGGTTTAGGGTTTAGGATTTGGGGTTTAGGGCGGTTTTGGGTTTAGGGTGTTTCAGTTTTGTGTGTGTTGTTTGAGGTGTACAGGGCGCCCTGCACCCTCCGCAAACCCTAAGCCTCACGCTGTGCTGCACTTTCGGCCGCTTCCGAAGTTGAGAAGGTGATCATATTTTTGTGTACTACATATGAATATGCACACACAGACATATATATATATATATGTGTATATGTATATATATATATATATGTGCTACGCCCATAAACCTAGGTTTCATGTACTTCTTGTAGTTGAGAGTGAGAGAGATGAGAGCGATTTATGAAGAAAAAGTGGCATGAAACCAATATGATCAACCTTTTTTTGGTGCTTAGAAAATATCCGGCGTCAGAAATTAAGGAAAGAAGGTAGGTTTAGGGAATAAGATTTAGGGATCCGGCTCTTTAGGATTAAGCGCAAAGGGCTTGGGGAATAAGATCGGTTTACACAATGTAAGGGCTCTCCTCTGTAGGATTTAAGGATGCCCCTCCTTAGCGCTCAGGGAATAATATTACGGGAATAAGATCTAGCTCACAAGGGGTACCGCTCTTTAAGATTTAGCGATAAGGATTTGGGTAATAGGAAGAGAGCCATTAAATCTTGAAGAAGAGAGCCCCGAATCCTAACAATACCTATTCCATAATCCTCGTCGCTAAACCCTAAAGGGTGCTACCTAAATCTTATTTCCTTAATGCTGTTCCCTAAGTCCTATTCCCTAGAGGGCGCCCTTTAATCTTGAAGAGGAGAGCCTTCTCATCTTACGAAAAAATCCTAAAGAGTGGGATCCCTAATTTTGCTCCCTAAATCTTCATTCACATCGCAAAGAGGAGAGCCCCTAGGAGAACCCTAAATCCGCAAACCAAAACGAATCCTATTGCCTAATTCTTGTCTCTATCCCTATCTCTTATTCGCTTGCATTTACTCTCAAATCCTATTCCCTAAACCCTGAAGAGGGGGGGGGATCTTAAAAGCAGATCCTGTTCCCGAAATCCTTTTCGCTGAGCCCTCAAGGGTGGGATCCCAAAATCTTCTTCCCCAAACCTTATTCCCGGAACATTTTTCCCTAAGTCCTATTCCCTAAGCCGTAAAAGAGGGGTCCGTAAACCTTAAGGAGGAGAGCCCTTTCAAATCCTGACAACCAAAACCCAACTCCCTAAATCTCGTCGCTAAATCCTGAAGAGCTGGATCCTCAAATCTTAGTTCCCCCCTACCTTTCTTAACGTCAAATCCTAAACCCTAAACCCTAAACCCTAAACCCTAAACCCTAAACCCTAAACCCTGAACCCTAACCCCTAAACCCTAAACCCTAAGCCCTGGACCCTAAACCCTAAACCCTAAACCCTAAACCCTAAACCCTAAACCCTAAACCGGAGCCTCCTAAGAAAACCCTAAATCCGAAAGAAAACGACCCCTATTCCCTAAATCTTGTCGCTAAACCCAGTTTAGGGTTTAGGGTTTAGGGTTTAGGGTTTAGGGTTTAGGGAATGTAGCTGGAGACTGCTTCCGTACGCTTCATGGCGAAGAGGCACTAATCCAAACTCATCGCTTTTCAACCAACGGCTCTGTTCAACATATCAAGGTTTGCATACATGTCTGTTATCAAGTTTTTTTTTTTTTGTTTTTTCGTGCTGGTGTTGTCTAGTTACTGGTCTCATGCTGGGGGGGGGGGGGTTAGCAGGTGTCCTGTCCATGGTGCGCTATGTTGGAAGACCCCTCGCCCCCCGCCCCCCCCCACCCCCACTGCTTACAAGCAAACTAAATGCTTAAAGCAAGATAGGTGTGTGACCAAAACTCTGTCCAAACAGAATCGAACACACAGATTTCGTTCCAACACATACATTTAAGGGGAAGACACTATGCAAGTAAACAAATGTGAATATTGTAACACTGCTACCACAATTTTACTCAACCACCAGGATTGAAAACATCAAGAGTAAGAGTTCAAAGGGATGTTAAACCTTCGTCCTGTTGATATACACTACCATAAATATACATGGTACGCCACCGCCCAAACGCTACAGTTAGGCCTGATCTTTTCAACGGAGTTTTTTTTTTTTTTTTTTTTTTGGGGGGGGGGGGGGTTACCAGATAAGTGTGTATATATATGTATATATATATATATATATATATAGATTGTATGTATGTACGTACGTATGTGTGTATGTTTGTATGTACTATTCGAATCACATGAATTCATACAATATATATATATATATATATGTATGTATGTATGTATGTATGTATGTATGTATGTATGTATGTATGTATGTATGTATGTATGTATGTATGTATGTATGTATGTATGTATATATACATATATATATATAAGATGTGTATATATTATACATATATGCAATGCACATGTATCAGATGCTTGCCACCCCGACAGGATTCCTTCGTCGGACGGTACGAGTGTGCCGGCGTACCTGCTGGTTCCATCGCAAGGCTGCGAAGCTCTAACCCCAAAGGTTTAGGGTTTAGGAAGGGTTTCGGCTTTAAGCGTCTAGGGTTGAGGCTTCAGTGCTTTGGGTGTAGGGTTTAGGGTTCAGGAGGAGGGTTTGCCGAAACCTTCACCAACAACTTGGAGGACCCATGAAACCCTAAAGCCCTGGAGCCCTAAAGCCCTGGAGCCCTAAAAGCCCTAGGCTCGAAGCCCTAATGCAAAACCCCTACACCCTAAACTATGGGTCCCTTCAGGGAGGTTCATGGGGGTAGGTACCTTAGGGAAGCTGAAGGAGCCTTAGGGAGTGTATTTGGGCACGTTGGGTGACATACCCTAAACCCTAAACCCTAAATCCTAAATCCTAAATCCCTAAACCCTAAACCCTAAACCCTAAACCTTAAACAAACCCTAAACCCCCCACCCTTGAAAACCCTCAAAAACCTAAACCCTTAACACTCTTGGGCGCGCTGGGGCGGGTCTAGGAGCCGGCGCTCTGGTGGTACGCCTGCACGACGGACCCGACCTCCGCGACAGCTGGGGCACCGATAGCTTCGATGCTTCAGGGGTCGGTTTAAGCAGAATTTTTAGAGTTTGAGGGTTTAGGGTTTAGGGTTCAGGGTTTAAGGTTTAGGGCTATATTTTTGTTACCCTCAATCCCCTACATTATCCTTTAAAAAGCCACAGAAGTCTAACCTGCCCCAGGCCTGGCTGCTGAGCCGAGGATACGGAATCTTGCGACTTGGGCTTCATCGTACGTTGAGTAGTTTCGCAAATCCGCTGGCACGTCCCGATTCAACCCCTCAGCTAGAACTGGCTCCTCGGGCAAGTGTAGGCTTGCTGGCCGAATGTGCCCCAGAAGCTACAGGAAGGGCCTGCCTCGGCTGTGTGCTGGCGGATTACAAGTTGTGATATACCGGCGGTCCCTTTTAGGGTACCTATAAGTCTACTTACTATCTACTTACTACGTCCCCTGACCCTCCAAGTACCCTTTTCGGGGGGGTTTCCGAGAAGAAGGATTATCGGGTTCTTAGGGGTACCCCTATTTTGGGAAATGCCCATTTGTGTTTGGGGGTTTAGGGTTTGGGGTTTAGTTAGGGTTTATCCTAGACATTAAAGCCCTAGACATCACACCGATGACGGTAAAGAGGATGCTTCCGCAGGGCAGCCCCTGTGGTGCATCTACAGAGTACTCGAGAATTGCACAAGTGCACATGCTACGTATACCTCATGCTTCATTTCTTGCTGGCATGGCACGCTCTGTCTCTCTCTCTCTCTCTCTTTTTTTCTCTCTCTCTCTCTCTCTCTCCGTCTTTGTTTCTGTCTCTCGCCTAATGTTGGACAACCCTGAGCCCGCAAAACCTTAGCAACCAGTCTCCGCGCAGACTGAGGAAGGTCAACTATCGCGGCTCGGCAGGGTTTGGCCGAGCCTGGCGCGCGAGCCGCGGATTTGCGGAGGACATCGCCAGCGCCATCGAGTGGGCGGTTGCTGAGAGGAAGGTGCTGGGTGCAGCTCGCGCAGAAGCCGGAGCCGCCGGTGGCGTTCCGCCAGTGGCCTTGGTGGGCAGCTACTTTGGGGGCTACGCAGCGCTGCACACGGCGTCCAGGTTGAGGGAGTGGGCGGCGTGCGTCGTGGCCGCCTGTCCGGTCTGGAAAAGCGCTCATCGGTCCTTTCCGCTGCTATATTCAGAGGGCACAACCCTAAACCCGAAACCCTAAACCCTAAACCCTAAACCCTAAATCCTAAGCCCTGAGGCCAAAGTTCTCAGAAAAGTGTTTGAGAACAGTTGAGGCCATTGCCCCACTGCAAGCGGCTCCCGGAGGAGTCTGGTCAGAGCCATACATTCCGCGTGCAGAATCCCAGGGCAACCTCGAGCCCGCCACCCTCGTCGGAGACCTTCAAGGCCTGGGTAGCCCAGTTGGTGCCCTTTGTTGCCCCTCCTCTCTCCCTCTTTTCATCTGCTTTCTTGGGGCTTCAAGGCTCCCGTATAAAGTCGCCAACCCTAAACCCTAAACCCTAAACCCTAAACCCTAAACCCTAAACCCTAAACCCTAAACCCTAAACCGAAGGGTTACCCGCAGTCTAAGGGGGTTGCTGGGCTACCCCAAGAGGCATGGCCATGATGCTGGTCGAGTATGAGTGCGATGACTCGAATGGCCCGCTTGCTGCCAAGTTGATCCCTGTCGGCTGCGACCCGGAAGAATGGCCGACTTCGGTGCAGTACGTGCAGTATGCCGGAGAGCGAAAAGGAGGCGGGAGCCTCAAAAAGCCCGGGTTCCTCCTTGTTGCCCCCAAACTACAATGGAACCCGCTCTCAAAGGACCCTCCTAAACCCTAAACCCTAAACCCTAAACCCTAAACCCTAAACCCTAAACCCTAAACCCTAAACCTTAAACCCTAAACCCTCCAGAGCCCTAAACTCCGAAGTCTAGACTCCCAGGTGGGGTGGTGCGGCAGAACATGCTGGATCTGTACCGGCGCATGGACTCATTCTTGCACGCGGAGCTCAGTGAGCGTGCCGGACCCTTTCAATATCCCAAAGAGCCCAATGCCCCGTTAATAACGGAATATTTCTTAAATCATAAGAAGGATCCCTTTTATCATTAAAGGTAGTATTCCTTTTTAGGGGGTATTGGGCTCTCTGGGATAGGGGCCTTAGTAGTTAGAAAAAGGTTTTGGGGGCGCTAGTAGAGTATAAAGGGACCATGAGGGGATACTATTCGTAATTACTCCGACCCCTATAGTATATACCCTGCTTCAGAAATAATTCTTAGAAGAAGCCCAATGGCGATATGGTCAGTTCCCAAAATGATGGTCCCTTTGTGGTTACTCCAAAAATGAGGGCTCGCCTTCTACAGGGTAAACCCCAAACGGGACCCTAATTTACGAAAATGGCCATACATAGATACGTATTGGCATGTTGGGTTCTGAGAGGAAACGCTGCTCTTGAGGTAAGACTTACGTAGCTAGGATCCCTGTATACTTGAAAGTAGATATTTGGAACCCGTGGTTTTTTCTTGCGCGGCCGCACGCTGGGGATTGTGTAAACGTGTGGCCAACCCCCCGACGAGTTGTTCTGTTTTGTGCGCGGTCGCGTGCAGCCCTTTGCGGCGCCTTTTTTTTGGACACCTTGCAGACATGAGCGACGGCACATCAAAAAAACAACGCGTGACCCTGTCGGGGGCATACTTGCTTTTTGTTCTGCGGTCGCGGCGCCTTTTCGGGTGCCTTGCAGACACGAGCGACCACACAGCAAAAGACACAAAAGACAAAATGCAACAAACGACCGCGCAGCAAAAGCCACAACTTCGGCCTACTTGAAAGTCGACATTTGTGGGGAGGACCACCTGGCATTTGGGGTTTTTTAATGTAAAAAAAACCCATTTCGGGTTTAGTGTTTTGTAACGCAAAAAAAACACCATTTAGGGTTTCGGGTTTTTAGCGTGAAAAAATCCATTGAGGGCTTCGGGTTTTTTTAAATGTGAAAAAAATACCTATGTGTGGAGGACCCCGCGGCTTGCTCAGAGAGGACTTCGTGGACGAAGTGCCCTTCTTGTCGGCAGCACTTTTGCCTGCAACGGCCGGATCCAGCTCAGCGTCCGGAGAGAGCATTGAGACCAGGTTTTCAAGGAGCCAGTTTTCGGTTTTTGGGTGAGCACGGGTTCCGCAAGGGTGTAGGGGTTAGGAGGGTTTGGGGTTTAGGGTTTAGGTTTAGGGTGTAGGGTTGATTGAGGGTTTGGGGTTACTTGTTACCCCAGTTGTACCCTTTTGCACAGTTTTTGATTCAAGGTTTTCTTTTAATAAAGAAGCCAAAACTTTCAATCAGGGTACTCTCATGATAATCTGGCCAGTCTTTGGTTCAAGGTTCCCTTGTAAAGTAACCCAAAACCCCAAAAAGGGTACCCTGATTACAACTAGTTCCTGGGCTACCAAGGAGATTGGCTTGGAGCGTGTCCTGCGGCAGTCGAAGGGCAACCTAGCTGCATCCAATGGCGTACACTGCCAGGATCCGCAAACCGTGAAAAAACAAAATCCTGAAGCCCTAAACCATAAAGCCCTAAACCCTCAACCCTAAAGCCCCCAAACCCTCAACCCTCAACCCTCAAACCCTCAAACCCTCAAACCCTCAAAGCCTCAAAGCCTCAAACCCTCAAACCCTCATACCCTCATACCCTCAAACCCTCAGACCCTCAAACCCTCAAACCCTCAAACCCTGAAACCCTCAACCCTCAACCCTAAAGCCCCGAAAGCCCCTAAAGCCCCGAGAGCCCCTAAAGCTCCTAAAGCCTAAGCCCTAAATCCCGCATGACCTCCCTCTGAACCTTAACCCCCCCCCCCCCCCCCAGGGTTTAGGGTTTAGGGTTTAGGGTTTAGGGTTTAGGGTTTAGGGTTTAGGGTTTAGGGTTTAGGGTTTAGGGTTGAGGTGACGACATCGCGGATGCGCTCCCCGAATTGCGATCAGCGTTTGGCACTCCGGTTGCTTCGCTTGCATGTAGGGTTTAGGGTTTAGGGATTTAGGGTTTCGGGTTCAGGGCTTAATACCCCTGTAGAATTCCGGAGTATACCTTAAGTGATAAAGGGATGATTTGAGGAGTAATGTTGGACCCTCTTTAATCTGTAGGGCCCCCCCCCCCCCCCCCCCCCGAACAGTCGAGGCGTGCATGGGAGCCTGATTACACGGCCCCGGGGGCTTATATGATTTCAATAGGGAGGAGTTTGGATAGGTTTAAAAGGGGCAGCGATGCCCGGTTATCTTTTTTAAAGGCGCGCCACGTGGAATTTTCTTACGGCGCCCGGACGGTTTGACTTTAAAGAGGACCCCGCAAACAGTCAGGGGGTCCTGAATAATTCGGCCAAATTGACTTAAAAGGGGAGGCCCCTACTAAAGAGGGTCGAACATTATGCCTTAGTCAGGGGGTAATGGGCTCTGCTCTTCGGGGAGGTCCTGTGAATACATAAGTTTGCCTCCTTACCCTCGTTTATTGGGCCCTTAGTATGTCTAGTGTTTCTAAGGGTTATAGAACAAGGGACCCAAACTAAGGGCCGGGGTTCTTGGAACCCTAGACGGGTGTCGGGAGTACAGGGCTCATGCTTCAGTTTTTTTGATTTGAATCTTCAGGGCTTTTTAGGGGGTTCAGGGTAGAACCCCACGCCCGAACGCCTCAGCCCCGCAAGCCTTACCATACCGACATAACGGGTATTTCTGAAGAGAATAGAAAGGGACCCCAAAAAAAGGTACCCAGTTGTTTTCCACCCCCCCCCCCCACCCAACCCCCCCCCCCCCCCACCAACCACCCCCACCCCCCCCCCCCCGAACCCCCCCCCCCACCCCCCCCCCCCCCCCCCAACCCCCCCCACCCCAAACAACTTATGTGGGGTTCAGGGCTTTGGGGCATTGGGCACTTGACAAGTCTATGAGCCCACGAGGGGCCAGAATGAGAGAACTCCTTCTGGGATTTGTTGCTGTCCTTCAGCCCGCAATGCCACAATGCTAACTTGACCCTGCACCCCTAAAACCAGATCCCTAAACCTTAAACCCCAAGCCCTCGACCCTAGAACTGAGCCGCCGCCCAAATAACGCAGGAGCCAAGAAATAAATACCCAAATGACCCCCTTGTTAGGGTTTAGGATTTAGGGTTTAGGATCCCAATAGAATGAACTATAAACAAGCTACCTAGAAATGACACATTCTTGCGAAGTAGGCGGCAGTCGCATGCGATGAGCTGGTTCCCGTAAACCCGAAACCCTAAACTCAAACCCCAAACCCTACCTGTAGGTTCATGGCACTTATAACCCACTTATAAATGCCCTTTTACCCGCTTATAAGCCCCCGAAGAGCCCTAACATGGTTCTCATTGGACTATAACAACTGTTATGGTTGGGTTGAGAAGTACCATGTTCTTTGTTTGCCGGACCCAGGCAGGGGTGGGCTTCTCGGCCGAAGGCACGGCGGCGAAGCAGTTCGGCAAGCGCTTGCAGCATATGCTGCTGGGGCATAGTGGTGCCCCTTTCCACTTTTTTGTTTGCTGGATAGGTTTAGGGTTTAGGTTCAGGGTTTTGGGCTTAGGGTTTCGGTTTCCGGGACCGAGAAAGTGACGCAGACGTGCCCTCCAGGTTGGATCCATGCATCACGTCTGTTGTTCCACCCTAAACCCTAAACCCTAAACCCTAAACCCTAAACCCTAAACCCTAAACCCTAAACCCTAAACCCTAAACCCTAAACCCTAAACGCTAGTTCCACTGCCCATTGCGAGATGTTTGAACTCAAGGCTGGTAGCACCTGCGTCCCGCGTGGTCGTGCGCGAAGACGGACTTTCGGACCTGAGCAAGACATGAGCACGGCTGCATACTCACAGGGTTGAGGGTTTAGGGTTTAGGGTGTGCTCGTAGCCGCTATGTTCTGTGCGTTTCCATGTAGTGACGTGGTGTATCTTGTTGACTGCACCTTTGCGCCAGCATCCCTACTTGAAGGTTCATGGTACTTACTAACCAATTATAACTGTACTTAGAACCCTACTTATAATACCCCTAAAGGACCTTATAGGGGTTATCCCAATTTTTAAGTAGGGTTATAAGCCCAGTTATAATTGGTTAGTAAGTACCATGAACCTTCAAGTACTGTCTCCGCCGCAGCCAGGAACCATCGAGGTCACCGTGAGCTTTACCGAAGCGCCCCAGAAGCTTCACGTCCTCTTGTCAGAGGTCTGGATGCACATTCGAGCTGAGGGCCTGGGTTTTACCTTGGCGCTGCCGCGGCAGCCGAAGCGTGGCCAGCGAATCCAAGCATTCGCCCTGCCCAGCGGAACTGGCTTCCACTTTGAGTCGCTCCGCTTGAGTCAACTAGGGTTTAGGGTTTAGGGTTTAGGGTTTAGGGTTTAGGGTTTAGGGTTTAGGGTTTAGGTAGGGTTTCCGAAACTAGGGGTACCTAAGGTTGGGGTCCTCACTATAAGGGAAGCCTCTTATGTGGGGATCTATTTCGGGGGTCCCAATTTTCGGAAAGCCCCACATGAATCAACCCTATATCGGGGAAAGCTCTTTTGGGACTTTTTTGTTTTACGGGCATGGTCCCCCATTCGCATGTCCCCTGATCAAGACGTGCTCAAAGTACACCACACCGTGGCCCGAAAACCCAACCTCCCAAACTCTAATCCGTTAAACCCCAAAACCGTAAAACCCCAAAACCCAAAATGTTTTAAAACCCTAAAACCCTAAAAGCCTACACCCTGCACCTTCAAACCCTAAAGCCCACTTTGAACCCCAAAACCCCCCATGCCAACCCCTCATGCCCCTTCTTCCCTGGGCGGGGCATTTGGGGTCCCTTACTCTACGGTTTAGAGTTTAGAGGGTTTAGGGTTTAGGGTTTAGGGTTTAGGGTTTAGGGTTTAGGGTTTAGGGTTTAGGGTTTAGGGTTTAGGGTTTAGGGTTTAGGGTTTACTACTTGTATTTGCTGAATAGAACCCGGTTTAGGGCTTGGGGTTTAGGGCTAAGGTTTGCTGAATAAACCTTCGAAAACGCACAGAATACTCCCTTATGGCCCTATAAGAAATAAATAAATAAACTAAATAAATATATAAACACATAATATATGTATTATGTATATATATATATAGTATAGTATTTTATTTACCTTTTTGTTTATGGGGGGGGGTTGAGGGTGGGCTCTATAGTGCTTGGGAGTAGTCAAAGAAGAGATGTTTGAGTTCAGTTCAGGGGTTTATGGTTCAGGGCTAGGGTTTAGGGCTCTGAAACCCTGAGTTCTATTCCCTGAACCCAGTATAAGGTTTAGGTTTATATAGATACGTGGGGCTCTTGATGCCCTGAGGCGAGACGTGTGTTGTGCTAACCTAGACCCCAAATCCCAAGCTCGGAATCCTAAATAACCTCCACTCAAGAACCACTTACGAGGTTTCTTGATTTTTTCAAGTAACCCAAGTTGCTCACAGCGCTCATGTCGGATGCACAAATGCTGGTTTGAGGTTTAGGGATATGGGCTCGGTGGGACATTCGAACCTGCCCTACGACCATGTATGCGCTATGCGATCGGTGCGCAAAAGCCTAAATCCAAAGACCCCTCTAAACTCCAGGCCTTAAACCTGAAAACCCCAACCCCCGACCTGAAAACCCCAACCCCCGAATTCTCCCAATAACCCTAAACCCCTCACCTTGGCTCAATAAGGCTTGTAATCGGGTGTACTATAATCCCTATTCAGGACTGTGAGTACAACGGGGAACATCCCAACCCTCACCCACAAACACACTGTCAGCACTTAGAGGTTCATGGTACCTCTAGCCCTGATTATGGCTCTACTTATAAGCCCCCCAAGTCCCCCAAGTAGGTTATAAGTAGACTTACTACTGTGGTTTTTAGTACCCATGAACCTCCAAGCGAGGATCCCAGGGGAGGCAAACGTTGGTGCTGTTGAGAACTTCAACTACTGGGCTGCCCGTGGCAGCAGTTTGCTGGACCTCGTGTTGCCGGAAGATTTGACGGCTGCCGCCGTCCTGGTCCCCACGGTGTCCACGTGAGATACTTCTGAAAAGTCCTGTGTTAGTGTTGGGGCGGGGTGGGGGGCTGGTGTGCTCAGGGTCTTGGGGTTTCATATGATTTTCTAGGGCTTCGAGTGGGCTTCTATGGGCGCTCTATGAAGCCTTAGGCTGATGTGGGGGGGTGCGAGGCAATGCCGCCCTCTGGCGGCTAACCCAACACACCTCGACAATCGCGCGACCCACAATCTACGACCCTCCAGATCCTGAAGCCCAACGCCCTAAATCCAAGGCCATAAACCCCCAAGCGCCGAACTAAGAACTGGGAGTTTTCCAGCGATCAGGAGGGGATATGGGCTGTTCTCTAAATTACGGCCCCTTCTTTTGTTTTCGGCTCCGATTATAGTACGGAGCCCTGCGTCTACGGACACTTCCTTCGCCCTAAACCCCGAAACCCTTGCACGATGTTTTTCAACTAGTTTCTTGGGCTTTGAAGCACGCTTCCTTTCTTCCTTCCTTTCTTCCTTCCTTGCTTCCTTCCTTTCTTCCTTCCTTTCTTCCTTCCTTCCTTGTTTTCTTCCTTTCTTTCTTCCTTCCTTCCTTTCTTTCTTTCCTTCTTTCTTGTAAAACCTACAATTCCTATGAAAATACAGAGGGAATTACCCTCTGACCGACATATGCAAGCTAAGTGCTCACAACAAGCCATGCACATCTCCATGTTCGCAACATATCACAGAAAAGAATGCTGTTTAAGTAGCAACAGCAAGGATTGAAAAAGAAAGAATGCACGGCGACAAGCGGCATAAGCACAAGCGAATTGCGCACCGCAAACGATGATGTTCTTGTTCATAGCCATGGTCACGTCGTGCATGTCCTGCTGCGTAGCCTGCTTTCAAGGCTCCAAGTTGTAAGGCCACAGTCGGGCGATGGCGGGGCAACGTGATGAGTTTGGACAATTCTGGGATTTGTTGACACAGCTGGGCCAGTGCCATCAAGCTGAGATCGATTCGCTGAAATCCACATGCATCTCCTCACATGGCCTGCCCGACGATTTTACAACTGACAAGGCAAGTCTGATGGAATCTCACCACGAGTCTATCGAGTTAGCCCTTACTTGTATGGGACAGAATGAAGTCCACGTGCCGGCAGTCAGAAGCTGCAGTGAGGGCAATCGTGGCTTGACGCGCTCACTGAGCGAAGCCTCCATAGTGTCAGTTTGCGAGCGCAGCGATGCGCCATGTACATCGAGACCAAGCATGAGGGTCAGCCACAAAGTGACCGGAAGAAGTCAGATTCTGGGTTGCATTTGGTTCTTTTTCAGAGGCTCTATTGCAGCGCAAGACCTGATTAGCCCCCATGTCCACGCTTGCAAAGCCAACCCAAGACCGCCCCCCCCCCCCCTCAGCTATTGTTGCCAGGACGAGCAATTGGAGCAACGCCAGCCGTAGTGCTAACCTGTCGGACTTCTTCTGCCTTCAGCACAAGGTCTGGAAAAACCCATGCCGACCTCCGTATTCCCCATCGCCCTGTGACCAGGAGGAGGACCATGCGCGGGCCGTGGGCCATCAGATGCAACAGCAGCCCCTGGGCGTTCCAAGCCATGCCCCAACTCTCCTCTTGTTCCGCAATGTTCCACAAGAGGTGTCCAAGCCAGAAACCTGCACCTTGTGCCAAGGCTGGCAGGCGGCACCTCCTCACACTCAGACAAGGACACAGTGTACGCAGATGCGCGCAGATGTACGCAGCGTAGGGTGCAAGTCAGGGCGACTGTCAAGCTGCAAGAATTGGAGATGGTATTGAAGGGCACTTGAAGCCCCCCCTTGCAACACCGGAGACCTGAACCCCTAACCCCATTGCCCTATACCCTGAACCTCTTGATGCCTCCTGCCTCAGGACTCGGAGGAGAAGCTTGTCTTCCAGCCGTGGCAGGTATGGTCGGCTCCCGACCTGCCCAAAAGAGGACGCCGCCGACCAACGAACAGGCCGTTCAAGGGTGCGAAACTTAACCTAAACATCTTCAACCACAGCATGTCAATGGGCTTCATTGGACGAACTTCGCATGCCATTGCAATGTGGGGGATTGGAGGGTGATGCTCTGGCACTCAGAACACCCTCAAGCCGCGAAGGTCGCACGGAAACGGCTATAAGAGCACGTCCAACTTGAGTTCAGGAGTGCGACTGTTGTTAAAGTCATGTAGCCGATTTTTGGGGAGCTCGCCGCGCGGACACCGTGTTGTTCTTGTCTCATGCAAAAGCGGATTTTCGGTCCTCTTCTTCCGTAGAGACATTATCTAGAAGCGGCCCTTCCCCAACAATGATATGACACACGTCCTACGTGGTCCCATCCCGCACCAGCTCGCACCCCGCACGGGTCCGCACCTTTTGGCCCTCCCCAAACCACCCCCTTCCCCGCCCCTGCTACGACTTGAGCCCCGCACCGTCCGGCTCTGCATACCGCGAATGGTTCCGCCGCCAAAGCACGCGCCCCGCTGGGTCCCCATCCCGAAGCGTGCCGGGGTGTCCCCATTCCGTACCGTTCGGTGCAAAGCTCATTGTCCCGCATGGCGGAACAGCTGGAACTTGTGCGGTGCAAGCTTTGGCGGTGCACTGCCACGAGCGTCAGTGGATGGCGCGTGGCTTTACTGGATGCAGCCTGTACAGGATGGGCTGGACCCCGCGGATGCGAGCGGGGCATTGCCTCGGCGGTGCGGGGCGCTCCGTCCCGCGGCGTCTCAGGTCCCACCGCCACAGCTTGGACCCCATCCGCTGCCAATTTCAAAATTCGCAGGCAGCGTCCTGCGTCCGTTTCGTTAACGCTTGCACCGGCTCCCGCTGCCAAAGCTCACAGCCCACAAGGTTGCTGTCCAGGAACCCTCGCAGCCTGGTTGTCATAAACAAGAACCCCCAACCTGCGAGGGGGTTGTGGGACAGAAAGCCTTCAACATCCATAATATGGCCTATACTATTATTATGATTATTACTACTATTACTATTGTTATTACTATTTTTTGTTATCATTATTATTGTTATTACTATGAGGTCCTATTCCCATCCACGCCCGCAGGTCTTTGCCTTCGAGAGAGGCTGGCTCTGAGAAGCCGAGCACCTGGAAGGCGCCAAACAAAGCAGCAAGAAGCTTCTTCTAGAAGAGTCATTTCCAGTGGTGTCATGTGGTATCCTATCACAAGTGGGGCTCGTTCTGGGGGTGTTTATGTGCTACGTTCCAGATGTTCCCTCATGAAATATTTCGTTGAGTCCGCGCATGACGTGAGCACAAGACTCTCAATGGTGTCTCTTGGGATTACATGATCTAGATAAACCCCGTATGACTCCCGTGACGGGGTTGGGTCAGCTCAAAACGGGTTCAGGATGTGAGGGGCTTACGAGTTCCGTAAGGTCTCAGGGTCATGAAGATTGGATTCTTGTGGCCTTACGGAGGTTCCGCCGACACATCGAAGCAAGCTTCGCTCTTGTGGCTGAGGTGCTTGCGCCTATGGGACGAACGAGGTTCTTGTGGGACCTGCTGTGCCTGGGCGTCGTGTTCCTGGAGCTCCTTCTCCTCCCTCCGCTGAGGGTGTTCCTTATCTTTGTTGCAAAAGAGGAAAGTCACTTGTGGGAAGAAACGCACCGCCAAGCGTAGAAGTTCCTAAAAGAAACTTGGCTACCCTAGAATCATCCAGGTTTGATGGCGCAGTACCGTTCGCCAACGCCGCGCGGAACGTGTTGTGGGCAGCGCAAGTCGTTTGGAACTTCCACATTCTTGTGTGCCTCAATACGGGGTATTACTTCCGTGGCCACTTGGTGTGTACCCAGCCAGGACTTGCAGCGGGCTACTTGAAGACATGGTTCGCCTTTGACGCTGCGAACATCATTGTAGACTGGCTGCTTGCAGCCATGGATGTGTCCCACAACCTTGCTAGCCGGGTGGCCCTGAAGGAGGTGAATGCTGCAGTCCGCGGCCTTTGGACAATGCAAACAGCCCTGCGACTTTCCCGCCTGGTATCCCTCCGCGGCAAGCTGCAATCGTTCAATAGGCACTTATCCGACAAAGCTGGAGCGAGTTCCATCATAGCCCTGACAGTGGGCCAAATCTGTCTGATGCACCACGTCTTGGCATGCTCATGGTATGGTATTGGGATCCTCGGGACGGATGGCAGCTGGGTACAGGCAAATGGCCTGGATGGAGCCAGCGTGGCATATAGATACGCAACAGCACTGCATTGGACCTTCTGCCAGATAGGCTTGGGATCTTCAGAAATAGAGGCGGTGAACACGCAGGAGCGTCTGTTCTCCTTGTTTCTTGGCTGTGCTTGGACACGGTGATTATCGTGAGCATCTAGACCAACAGCTGCGAACCTAAGTGAAGCTATCGATTGCTTAGGTTCGTCGTGTTTGCAGCTGTCTTGGTGCTCTCTACACTGCTGGTTTCAGTCACCAGCATGGCCACCAACCTGAACAAGGTGCCCACTTGGAGCTGAAAGTTGTGACACGCTTGCATCACTCCCGGCCTTCATCCTTCCTTCATCTTTCCGTCAGCACAGGCAAATGAGAGGAAGCAGGATCTCTTCCAGCAGCTGTGGAAGTACATGGAGCAACACCAGGCATTTGGTGGGCTCAACCCTCAACCTCAAGCTTGTCAGTGTTTCTTGCGAGCTGCATGTCACAACTCACTCACTCCTGAGCGGCCCGACCCTGATGTTCCATGGAGCCCCGCCCCCCCCCCGCCTCGCCCCTCCCGAGGTTGGAGAAGATCTGAAGATGCGAGTGTCGGCCTATCTTGAATACGCCTATACGCTGCGCCAGCCGCTCGGACCTGCTTGAGATTTCTGCAAAAGAGGGATGAGGAATCCTGTATCCTTATTTACAGAGCCCCTCCCGGCCTTCCTGTCTTGCAGGAAGTCGTGTTCCAGGTCCCTTGAGCAAGCCAGGTCGGTGATGGTGGAGACGGAAGTGCCCATCTTGGACCTACTTTCCAAGCAGCTGCACGCGGAGCTGCAAAGCTTCAGAGACCAGGATGCACCCGGCTCAGAGTCCTCCCTTCCGGATTCTTACAAGTTGTAGTTGTGCAGAAAGGGGGGGGGTTTCCGAACTGAGGGGGGCCCTTATTGGGGTCCTTTTGAATAAGGGATCCTACTATTTGTGGGTATTTTCAATGTGGGTCCCGTATTTTGGTAAACCCCCAAATGTAGCGCGGTCTCAGGATACCGGAGATGCCTCCGTAAGCTGGACGTCATGAAGCAACTCCGCGCCGTGGACCAGCATTCCTTGCAGGTCATCCGAAATCTCCCGAGCCAGCTCTCCCACAGGACCGTTTTGCGGCTTGGGATGTTTCCCCGTGTACTAGCAGTCCTTCAGAGGGATTTTACTAGGGGGGTACGATATCACACACGGCAAAGAGGCACGTGCACAGCAGAGCGGTGCAGCGCGCGTTGGTCCGAGTCAGAGTGCTTAGTCCAAAAGAAATGGCCTAGCAAGAGCACCAACCGTCCTTACGGAGCGACCGGCGCAAAACTTAAAGATAGCAGCTCGAGCAGCGCCAAGAGCATCATCAGAAATCCCGACCCGCATCCCATCGAGTGAGAAGCAGATCCCCAAAGAAGACAAATCAATATGCTCAGCAAACAAATGATCAAGCTGCAAGGCCTGCATTCCTCGCCGCAAAACGTGGCGAAATACTCGTAGCTGTACAGCGAATGTGTGACGAGTAAGAATCAAAGGCACTTCGGTGGCATCAACCCAATGGCCAGATACCGGGTGCTTAGCAGGAAACTCCGCCGCAGATGCCTGAAGCAAGGAAACAACCAGCTCAACCCAACTGACAACCCGAGTACCAAAAACGGCAGAATCAACCTGAAGCACAAACTCAAAGGCCTGCTGTACAACACGGGCCGGAAATTGTGGACATGCCTGTGAAACAGTGATTCGCCAACCAATTGCGATCTCCTCGGCAAGTTTCATGCCGTCCGTCACATCCCCAACTTGAACTGGCGGGCATGTCTCGTCCTCGTAGTCCTGATCATCTCGGCTTCCAGCGTGGCTGGTTTGGTCGAGGTCTGCAATCCCCTAAGGGCGGAAAGCTGCTCCGTGGTTTGCTCGTGGTATGCCAATGCCGAAGTGTGAATGTCGAGCAACTCGGCTGAGCGGTTTGCATTTGCACAGCAGGCGAGATTGTCTGCCATGTCGTTCCAGCGCGATAGCCATTCATCCAGCGGTGCGTCGAAGGCAGACTTGTCTAAATGCGACGGTACATGCTGCACCAGAAGATCCCCGGCTGCGAACGACTCTGCAAGTAGCTCAAGCTGAAGCCAGAGGTCGGTGTTCTCAAGTGGTGCGCAAAAGGTCCTTGCCAAAATCGCTCGCAATCCGCGCGCAACGTAGGCGGAGTCCGACCACAGAACAAGAGCTGAGCCAACCCAGGTTCCCCATTTCAGGGCGCTGATGGCGCCGAAGAGCTCTGCCCTTTGCGTGGTCTGCAACGCTCCTGGCAGGGGCCTGCTGCTGATGGGCGAGCCAGTGTTAGCGCACACCACGCCCCATGCTGCCAATGCCAATTCAGGAACTTGGCCATGACTGCAAGAGCCGTCCGAGAAGACATGTTGCTTGCCGGCTGTAGTGCACCTGGCTGCGAAATTAGCAGACAAGCAGACAAGCCGGGTAAAGCAGCAAGGTGCGCTTGCAACTTCGCAACATGGGGGGTTGACGGGGGGCAGGAGGTGGTGGGGGAGGCAGGAAGGCAGCGCATCCCATACCTACAAACCCAATCAAAACCCTCTCGTGCAGCCGCATACCTGGGACATTGACACACTCGGTGCTGGCGCGTGTCGGGGACTTGACAAGTGACACAGATGCCGGACTTGGATAGGTCGAAGCGGCTGTGCTCAGCATCGAAAAGAAAGGCCCCGGAGCGGAGCGCATTGAGCTGTGCCAAGCGCAATGGGGGAAGACGTGCTTCACTGGCTCGGAGGAGTGGCCTGTCTAGACCGTGCAAATCCGACATGGCCCGACGGTGTCGGTGCCCCCTACGATAATTCACTATCAAGGGCCGTTCGTACAAGGGGGAACGTCCCAAGTTGGGGCCATCTCAATGGCCTGCAGTGCTGTCGTCCTTTCCCCTCTTGGTGACCTGTTTTTCAGGGAGTCTTCCAAAGGGGTTTAGGGTTTAGGGTGCAGAGTTCAGGGTACCTTCTAAACGGGAGTGTAGCAGATCAAGGACCTTTGCCCCAGCAGATACGGTCTTCGAATGCGGCTTGCTGGCCAAAGCGGCCTACTTCGTAGCAGAGGGCGAGTTCGTCTACGAGCTGAGCGGGACACTACTATTTAGCATGCAAAATAGTAATCCCTATATTGTCCTTATAAGGAAGAATATTTTGTGGGGGTTCTTCAGCACCCTAAACCCTAAACCCTGAACTCTACACCCTAAACCCTAACACTAAACCCTAAACCCTAAACCCTAAACCCTAGTAGGACAAAGACCTCCGTCGCCAACGGCCGGTGGGTCGCCGAGATGTGTCTCTGGACTCCTTGGCTTCACCTGGGAGACCTGACCCTGGGTTTTTGATTATGGTCAGTTTATGGTCGAGTCGATAGGCTTTCTTTTTTGGGGAACATGGGGTTTGGGGTTTGGGGTTTAGGGTGTAGGGTTTAGGGGTGTGGGGCATTGCAGTTGACTCTTCTCCAGTTGAGTCCTTCAGCGAAGTGCAAGGACCACGAGGGACGTCGCCGCTGTGGTGATCTTGGATGCCACGCCCTTGAGTATGGAAGAAAAAATATATATGCATATATATATATATACATAGACATATTCATATACACATACATATGCATATACATATACATATACATATACAAATACATATACATATATGATATCAGACGTAACATTCCGTAGCGTCATGTCAGATCCAACATAATGTAACATGGTCTTACCTGATATGATATAGTACGGTATAGTATAGTTATCCAAGTGTTTACAAACCGGTACCAACCGGTACAGACGGGCACAAGCCGGTAGAAGATTACTGAGTGCTACTGAATAGTTATATCACCAAGTACTACTTTGATCAATGGTCCAGAAACTGACTTCTTGCATGCAGTTGTTCCATTACTTCCCGGGTTGCACAATTCCCAGTTCGGACGCGTCTAGAAACCCAGGTGAGCCGTTTCGCCGACACCCTCCGCCGCTCGAGCGAGAGCTTTCTCAAGGCCTGCTTTCCCTTTTCTAGGTCGTTTGGGAGGGCTCCGGAGCTAGGGACCTTCGGGGGGGCTTCCAGGGCCCTCTCCAGAGGCGCAGGAGTACGCCCGGGACTGGGTGGAGCGGATGAACGGCGAGCAGTCGATCACCGACCTTTGGAGCTGTGAGGCGATGTTGGAGTTTTTGGGGGCTTTTGTAGGGTTTGGAGATGTTTGGAGGCCTTGTAGGGGCTAGTCGGGTTTAGGGTGGAGTTCGGGATCTCGGGGAGACCCGCGAATCGCAGAGAAATCCTCGCAGCTTTCCGGGGGCCCTTTTCCGCCTTCTTATCATCTCGATCTTTGGGGGTTTTCTCAAGAGAATGCGACAGAGGGGCAGCTGCTTTTTCTCGGGATCCCGCAACGCCTTGTTTTGCACGCCAGAGATGTGGGAAATGAGCATCTTGAGCATCTTCCTCTCTGGGAAATGCCACCCTGAACGCCTAAACCCTAAACCCTAAACCCTAAAACCTAAGCCCTAAACCCTAAACCCCAAACCCCTAAACCCTAAACCCCAAACCCCAAACCCCAAACCCCAAACCCCAAACCCTAAACCCTAAACCCTAACCCCAAACCCCAAACCCTAAACCCTAAACCCTTTCATTCTTGCCGCCAGGTGGCTCCCGAAGTCGCACCGAGGCATTCCTCCTCTGACCACCCGCAGACCCTGCGCTGCTATGGGGGGGGTTTAGGGTTTAGGGTTTAGGGTTTAGGGTTTAGGGTTTAGGGTTTAGGGTTTAGGGTTTAGGGCTTGCGGCCGTTTGTTTTGTTTTTTTGTTCGGGTGGTTGTTTCAAGGTTTGAACAAGATGTGAAAACAGAGATTGGCAAAGGGCCCATGATTTAGATCGGCCCACTTGGCTTAGCGGTTTCATTTTTCGGTTCTTGGGCTGGAAATGCTTGAGCTCCAGGTTTGGGAGGGGCTTTTCCCTTCTTCAGATGGCTCCCAGGGCCATCTTGAGCCACACATATTGCGGCGGTTCTCAACATGCTTCAATGTCCCTATGACAGCTCCGCACCCCAAACCCTAAACCCTAAACCCTAAACCCTAAACCCTAAACCCTAAACCCTAAACCCTAAACCCTAAACCCTAAACCCTAAACCCTAAACCCTAAACCCTAAACCCTAAACCCTAAACCCTAAATTTAAGAGCCTCCGGCTCAAGCCGCCGACCCCGCTGGAGCATAGTTGAGAGGTCTAGACCCACTCGCATGGTTCAAAGATCATCGCAGCCTGGTCGGCAGAGTTCTGTGAAACGTTTGGGGGGGGGTAGGGGGTAGCAGCAGGACAAGCTCAAGCCAAAAAGATGGGGGGGGGGGGGGGGTGGGGGGGGGGGGGGGGGGGGGGGGGGGGGTGGGGGGGGGGGGGTGGGGGTTGGGGGCGGGGGGGCTTGGGGGGGGGTGGGGGTGGGGGTGGGGGGGGGTTGGGGGGTGGGGGTGGGGGTGCCGAAAACGCTGATTTTGCTGAGGCCAACACGCCGCCAGGGTCGGCGGACCTAAACCCTAAACCCTAAACCCTAAACCCTAAACCCTAAACCCTAAACCCTAAACCCTAAACCCTAAACCCTAAACCCTAAACCCTAAACCCTAAACCCTAAACCCTAAACCCTAAACCCTAAACCCTAAAACCTAACCCCTAAACCCTAAACCCTAAACCCTAAACCCTAAACCCTAAACCCTAAACCCTAAACCCTAAACCCTAAACCCTAAACCCTAAACCCTAAACCCTAAACCCTAAACCCTAAACCCTAAACCCTAAACCCTAAACCCTATAGCCAAAACCTTAAACTTTAAACCCTAAACCCCAAAACTGAGAGATTGTGTCAAGGAGCCTCGGCTGGCTGGAGGCCGCCAGACACGTCCTCTCTTGCAACATGGCGCCAAAGAAACGTTTCAGCCAGGTGGTGCCAGGAGGCTGAGCCCTGGAGGCTGTCAATTTTCTATCTGTTGGTAGGATTGGTCGGGATTTTGGCAATAGAACTTAAGCATAAGCAACCTAACGCCCGAGCTTGAGAGTGCCACCATGAGAATGCCACCATGTTGGCAGGGGGTGAAGGGTCTGGAAGGGTCTTGAAGGGTCTTGGGTGACAGCCTCTGACAGCCAGATTTTCGGAGCCCTCGATAGTGGGCTCCACGTCTTGAAGATGGCACATCGCGAAGGCTCATCCGATGTGCCCGAAGGGTCCATGGAAGGTTTCAACACCCCTATAGTTTGTAGAATCCCATTGAACAAACCCGCGTATTCCACAACTTTCTGGACCCTTAGCCCACGCAGTGTTTTCTCGCGATCTCTACAAGAAGTGTCGCGACATGATGAATCTTGGTCAATACCATCATCGTCTCCTAGAATTAGAGACGTTCACCGTTCACATACCCCGAAAGGGGTAAGTGCGCATTTCTGAGGTGTGTGCAGCTTTTAGGTTCCAGAAGGCAGGAGCAGAACGAAACTCGTTCTTGATATCCGAGATACCGGTGCCGGACGGATACTAGGGCTTGCAATGCCAGAATGGACGATTGGATCCCAATAGATGGAAAAAACAACGCGCCCCTTTGGCGCAAATCCTCCCATATCTACGATATGGGATATCGAGATTGAGAAATATATTTTCTGCCATCTGAAATAGATGATCTCCATGATGATTTGGTTGGTTATTGGAATCTCGTTTCGAAATTCGATTTTGGAAGATATTGATGACCCCGGGATTGGCTTCGCATCTAGACGAATCCGAGTGCGATTGCTCCTCTTTTTTTCCCGAAAGCATCGCGAAGGGTTCTTCCATGCGGAGCCCTCTGACCCAACCACAATAGAGTGAAGTGCATAGAGTGAAGTGCATAGAGCGAAGTGCATAGAGCGAAGGGCATAGAGTGAAGCGCATAGAGTGAAGTGCATGGAGTGAAGCGCATAGAGTGAAGCGCATAGAGTGAAGTGCATAGAGTGAAGTGCATAGAGTGAAGTGCATAGAGTGAAGTGCATAGAGTCAAGTGCATAGAGTCAAGTGCATAGAGTCAAGTGCATAGAGTCAAGTGCATAGAGTCAAGTGCATAGAGCGAAGTACATAGAGTGAAGTGCATAGAGTGAATTGCATAGAGTGAATTGCATAGAGTGAAGTGCATAGAGTGAAGTGCATAGAGTGAATTGCATAGAGTGAAGTAGAAGTTAATAGAAATTACGAGATTTACGCAGAATGTCGTAGACCTTCGTACCCAGTCCTAGATTTCTAAATTAAAACTACATTAAAATTTCTCTTTCTCAGGCGGCGGGCTGGGTTGACATCGCCAATCGGGATTGCAACCCTCTGCGGGTTTCGGCGTGGTCGCGGTGCTAAAACCATCGTTTTTTTACGTTTCTTGATTTGCGCGGACAGCCCTCTGCGGGTTTCGGCGTGGTCGCGGTGCTAAAACCGTCGTTTTTTTACGTTTCTTTGTGTCCGCGGACAACCCTCTGCGGGTTTCACCGTGGTCGCGGTGCTAAAACCGTCGTTTTTTTACGTTTCTTTGTGTCCGCGGACAACCCTCTGCGGGTGATCGCCGGGTCACGGTGCTAAAACCGTCGTTTTTGGTACTTTTTTTCGTGGCCGCAGACAACCCTCTGCGGGTTTCGGCGTTGGCGCGGTGCCAAAACCGTGGTGTTTTTGCGTTTTTTGCCATAATCCGAGCTCCTGTTTAATTGGTGGGGGCCCCCCCCCCCCCACAATAAGGAATGCAGGGTTCCGCAATAGTTGGACCGTGGCCCTGTATTGATTCTCTATTAAAAACAATACGAATGTGTGTTGAAAACAATAGGAATGTATAGAATGTCTATTAAAACTGAATAACAAAGTATTGACTCTCTGTAAAAGCAATAGGAATGTTGCAGCTTTTGCAGAGAGTGCAAGGGCAGACAGTGGAATTTTGCAGAGGGTTCAAGTGCAGGCATTGCAGTTTGCAGCTAGCAGTGTTGTTGCAGAGATGCCATCGCTACAAAAGTCGACTTTCCAGCCACGGACGCTCCGGGCGTCCCCGGCGTACTATACGTCTGTACTACAAAAGTCGACTTTCCAGCTACGGAAGCTCCGCGTGTCCGCGGCGTACTACGTTTGTACTACAAAAGTCGACTTTCCAGCCACGGAAGCTCCGGGCGTCCCCTGCGTACTACATTTGTACTACAAAACTCGATTTTCCAGCCACGGAAGTCCCCAGCATACTACGTCTGTACTACACAAGTCGAAAAACAAACGCAAAAAACGCAAAAACACTACGGTTTTAGCACCGCGACCACGCGAAAACCCGCAGAGGGGTTACGTTTGCATGTCAAGAAACGCAAAAAAACGAGGGTTTTGGCACCGCGCCAACGCCGAAACCCGCAGAGGGGTTACGTTCACAAACGTAGTACGCCGCGCACACGCGGAGCTTCCGTAGCTGGAAAGTCGACTTTTGTAGTACAGACGTATAGTACGCCGGGGACGCCCGGAGCTTCCGTGGCTGGAAAGTCGACTTTTTGTAGTACTCACGTAGTACGCCGCGCACACGCGGAGCTTCCGTGGCTGGAAAGTCGACTTTTTGTAGTACAGACGTATAGTACGCCGCGGACGCCCTGGGCATCTGAAAACACCGCAAATAGCATGGTAACGGACATCTGGCCGCTTGAAAACACCGCAATAGCATGGTAACGGACATCTGGGCGCTTGAAAACACCGCAAATAGCATGGTAACGGACATCTGGGCGCTTGAAAACACCGCAAATAGCATGGTAACGGACATCTGGGCGCATGAAAACGCCGCAAATAGCATGGTAATGGTAACTGCAAATAGCATGGTAACGGACATCTGGGCACTTGAAAACACCGCAAATAGCATGGTAACGGACATCTGGGCGCTTGAAAACACTGCAAATAGCATGGTAACGGACATCTGGGCGCTTGAAAACACCGCAAATAGCATGGAAGCGGAATTCCGGACGTACTTGAAAACCTCGCAAATAGCATTCCCGCCGCGGACACCCGGAGCTTGCGTGTCGAAACCACCACAAATAAACCATCGCAAATATCGCGGGACTCGAATTCCTCGAAACCCTTGCAAATGTCGTGGGACTCGAATTCCGGGGCTTCGAAAACCTCGCAAATATTGGGACTCGAATTCCTCGAAAACCTCGCAAATATCATGGGACTCGACTTCCGGGGCCTCGAAAACCTCGTAAATATCGTGGTTCCAAAACCATCGCAAATACCCTGGTCCCCGAATTCGCTGTTTCCAAAAGCATCGCAAACCCCATGGTCCCCGAAATCGCTGTTTCCAAAACCATCGCAAAAACCATGGTCCCCGAATTCGCTGGTAAACCATGGTCCCCGAATTCGCTGGTTCCAAAAGCATCGCAAGTATACCATGGTCCCCGAATTCGCTGGTTCCAAAACCATCGCAAATCAGACAACTAAGTGCAGTGTACAAGTGACTATGCAACCATGTAAGTGCATACATTTGTCCAAGTGCATACACTTCGGCTGCAAAGAGGCAACTGCATGGAGTCAACGCACGGCAAATCGATGCTTTCGGGCCATCCCTCTTCTAGTTGTCCTTGAGTTGTGCCGTGCCTTCTGGCTAGTTCGGGGTGGCGGCGGGTACATTACATTCGTTTCATTGTTGGAAGGTACTATATTTATTTTGTTCTTTCCGTATGCTAAGAATAATCTCATCATGGATCTCGGTTATATCTTTCGAATTATTTGGATTAATTGATTTGATCGAACGGGGGGATTGGATATAAGATTCAATCTCCGATTATTTGTAGTGGGGAGAGAAGCATAATGCAAACGGTTTATGCGTCTCAAAACATAAATTTTCTTTCTCTTTGATTTATGGTCTCGGTATTTGGATGATTTGATACTCTTGAGAGCAGAAGTCTTTGCCATCCTTTGCATACGCTTATGTTTCTTTGGGTGGGAGGATATATTACGTATTTCGACCCAGAGACGAAGCATCAATACGAAACGTGAACTTCACAATTCAAAATTCGTGAGACCCCTCCCATTTCGTATCGGCGGCAATTAAAACGCGGTAATGGCAACTAAAGATAATATACAAGTATCAGAAGGGAATCACCTGCATCATCGCAATGTAGCCGCGTCATAATTGGCGCGCTGCAGCGCGCAAGCCGTGTGAAAGCCCCGCTGCAAGTCGATAGAAATTTAGCCAAGAGTTTCGCTCGCATCGTACTTATTCTCAATCCCAACTTTTCATTTGAATCTACAATGACGATTCTTCCGGTATTATCCCCCTATTGACTCCCAAATCATCCAAATATTGAATCTCGCTTCTTCTAAGTGGTTTGATAATAGTTATGAAATGACTTTCGTTATATTTATGGGTGCGCGTGGACTTTTGAAGAGAAAATTTCAGGAATGGGAATGAGTGATGAATTCTCTTTTGGATATTATAAAATAAGACTTGAAAATTCGACTTTCGATCGATATTCAGAGGGGACTCTCTCGCATCTTACATAAATGTCGTGTAGTACAATCGTCTCTGGATGAGGCACAAGGGATTATTGATCGTTTCCTGCAGGAGAATTTATTATGGGACTTATGATGCTTGATATTTTGAATCGAATCTCCCATGGACATTCCATCGATCCATTCTCTCATGAGAGAGTTTTACCAAGCTTATGATATATGATACGCCAAGTTCGATCCCCCCCGCGTAGGTGCTGCCGACCCCTGCACGTGCCACTCCTACTTCTGAGGGCGGCGGGAATTCATTTGGGATATAAGGCTGATAGATCGTAACGTTTTGGGAAGCATAAGTTTTTCCTTTGTAGAGAGTTCTCGTCCGGTTCGCGTGTGTGTGTGTGTGTGTGTGTGTGTGTGTGTGTGTGTGTGTGTGTGTGTGTGTTGGCTTTGGGATTTCGTTTTCACGAGATTGATGGTGAATTGGGGGTGATGGTGGTGGGTTTTTCAATATACGATTGGGAGTCTCAGGATGATGAAATGAGCTTTCTTTTTTTAAATATATTCTGGACGATATTTAATTCGTAGTCTTGGGAACGTTAGGGCTTAAACCCGAAAACTGATTTAAATTAATTCCAATAATTTCATTAAGTTAAATGAATTAAATTAATATATTGATCAAACTACTTAGATTAATTCAATTAATGCAATTAAGTAAATTAAGTATAATTAAATTAGAGTTAATTTAATTGATTGAATTAATTTAATTAATTGACAAGGGCTTTAGGGCGTATATTCTCTAGGCACCAGAGCCGTAGAGCCAAAAATGATTCGATAGGCCACATCATTGAGAGTCTTGGGCCATACAGGCGTCTATTCCACAAATAATTCTCTTACGTCAAATGAAGCCTCTCATATGACAAGAGAAATGTCTTGATGAGTGTAGCAGGTGGTAGGTCAGAAAATGGGGCAAAATGGTTCGGCTTCATACACTAGATTCCCCACTAATCAATCTTAGACATATACTTCAAGTAGGCTAGGAGTCTTGGAATTTCCATTGAGAATGAAGGGGCGGGCACCGTGACAACAGCGGATGGTGGGCGAAGCTATAGTTCTGGGTCACAAATTGCGGACTTCGAGGTTCCCCTTGCAAATTGGCTAGCCTATTTTGATGCCATCATTTTCGATAGGGACGGATTGATTTTGATGGCTCTTCTGTGGTGAAGCGATAGTTCTGTTGCTGAGAAGTCTTTTTCCGGCATCGTGCAATGTGCTCGAGAGTAGGGAAATACCCTTTCTTTTGTTCTTACGTCCAACTCGAGGATATTCATATATTTAGAAATGATAGGATAGATGGGGATCAATGCCATTTTGAATTTATCAGATACTTCCGGATGCAAATATCGTCTTTTAATCTTGTAATTGGTGCTTTTGGGCGTAGATGCCGCTTGTACCGATACGTCGGAGGGGCTTAATGTGTCCCTACAATATAAGCCTGGAATCCAATTACGTCTCCAATGGGAAGGGCTTGGGGGACATTGGTACTCAAATGGACGACTACGTGGATGAAGCTTTTGCAGACTGTAGCCATTTCGGATTTAATAATGTTTATATTGGATTGACGAGCTCGATGCAGGGTCCTTGGGCGACATCAACGTCCAAATGTCAATTCAAGTGCACGAGTCACCGATGATATTCTCAGAGATGGTGCCCCCCTATTGGGAGGGAATTCTAAGAAAGAAAAATCTATTGAAGAGACTAAACCCGAAACCCTAAACCCTAAACCCTACACCCTAAACCAAACCCTAAACCTAAATACCTGCAGCTCTTCTACAGATGACGACTATTTGGGGGCTGTTTTGGGGTCAGGGTTTCGGGGCCCGCGAAGTGAGAATGGTGGGAAAGATGCCTCGGTCGTTTTACTGTGGGGGCACTCTTTCTTCTCTTTTGGTACAGGGTTTAGGGTTTTGGGTTTCTTTTTCTGTCATGCTTGTTAGCTCATGATGTGATTGCATTCTGTAAAGAACCTTCTTTTCTTGTGAAGCTCGCCTGGTGCTCGTGTAATACTTTCTGTCAAGTTTCAAAAGGTATTGGTATCAATCATAGATGAGTGGCTCATGTTATGTCGTCATGTCTACTCACCACGTATGTGAGTCAGAAGCAAGAGTCACGGGCAGGCTTGCCAAGTGATCGTGTTGCCACGTGATCGTGAGTGGAGCGTGCGTAAAGACTTCGTTTCCGGATGCCTGTTTGTAGGGTATATTCGGCTCAAAACTCACCCCGCCGTTCCAGTTGCTGGTTGTCTGCGAAGTCTTCGCGCCAGAGGCAGGGTGGCAGGGCTTAGGGCTTGTGCCTTGTGTAGAGTTCTCAGAAGAACCTCGCCACAATCCGCGAAATCCCGAAACCCTTTTTTCCCTAAACCCTAAACCCTAAACCCTAAACCCTAAACCCTAAACCCTAAACCCTAAACCCTAAACCCTAAACCCTAAACCCTAAACCCTAAACCCTAAACCCTAAACCCTGAACTTAGAGGCAGAATGCTTCTCGCAAAGCTGCTGCCGGTGCTGGGCACCCTTGCCTTTGCGTATCGAAACTCCGACTCCGAGGGTGACCAGTTGGGAGTGCAGAGCATGGGGAGCCTTTGGCTGCCGCTAAGGAGCTTATACGTTAAGATACACGTGTGTGCCGGGATATAGATATAAGATGCCACCACAATATGGATGGGTATACATATATACATATATATGTATGTATGTATATATATATGTAAATGTACATATCTTCCTTTCTGTGCGCTTAGAGGTCGTCGCCGCCGAGTTGCATGCAGAACGGCCAGCATATACATATATATATATATGTATATATGTATGTATGTATGTATGTATGTATGTATGTATGTATGTATGCATGCATGTATGTATGTATATATATATAGATATGTATATGTATATGTATATGTATATGTATATGTATATGTATATGTATATGTATATGTATATGTATATGTATATGTATATGTATATGTATATGTAGGTTAGATTTATACACACGTGGTTTCCTTGCGGAGCGGTTTCTCTTCACTCCTGTAAACAGAACAGTCCCAGGAACAGCACCGACTCGGAGCTCCGATGCGCCACGGCCACCGTGCACCCCCAGGGCGTTCGGAGCAGGTCCGGTCCTCTGGGTGCCTCGTACTACGCGTGCTCCCAGCTGGAATCTTTGTGGTACTTTACTGTAACTTTAGATCCTTAGCCTTTTTGGGTTTATTGGGTTTCTTAATAAGGCAGCTAAAATGTCAATTTTTAGCTGCCCTTCTGAGTGTAGCCAAGGAATATGCGAACTGCGCGGGCAAAGTGGCTTACTGGGAGAAGAAAGATCAGTACTTCCTGTGCCAGCCGTACGTTGCCATGTTGAGGGGCGGGCGGAAGCAAGTCCCCATGTGCCTCGTTGCGACGAACGATGACGCCTCGCCTGTCCTCGCTCCTCGCGAGTGCGGCATTTGGGAGAGCCTTAGTAGCCCTGTAAGTCAGCTTCAATCTTGGTAATGTCTGGTTGAAGCCTAAATCATGGCCAACGCCACCTCTGTTAACTACCCAAAATGCCTATTCCAATCGGTCAGGCCCGTACAGTTGTTGAAGCCAAGTTTGGACAAAGCTGTCAAAGCCATGCCACAGAAAAGGAACAACCAAGTGAAGGAAGACATCCTCGCCCGGGGGCGCCAGGCGGAGGCGGATTGCAAGGCAGCGCTTTGCAGCAAGGCCGCTGCCTCAGATCTCCCTGTAAACCCTCAGCCCTAAGCCCCAAGCCCCAAGCCCCAAGCCCTAAGCCCTAAGCCCTAAACCCTAAACCCCAAACCGGGGGGGGGGGGGGGGACTTCCTTATGTTTCCCCACCAAACCGCAAGAAAAGGCCAAAACCGGACCTGGCAGATGGTGCGAGCATCAAATGCCATCGACAAGCCCTGGCCGCGGCTTGGCGGATCTTGCAAGTTAACACTGGTAATGTAGTAATATTACTAATAGTAATCATCATAATAGCATTAATAAAAAAACACTAGCAATGGTAATAATAGTAGTAATAATATTAACAATGGTAATCATAAAATAACAATAATATCAATCGTAATAGTAATAGTAGTAGTAATAATAATCGTAAAACTAATTGCGGGAATAATCGTAATACTACTAGTAGTAACAATGGTAAGAGTGGTCGTAGTCATCATCGCAATAAGAACAGTAGTAATAAGTGGTTTCCCGGCATGGAAAGCTAGAGAGGTTTTGCATGGGTACCGAACGCAGCCAAGGAAGTACGTATCCACTCCAGGAGTCTGGGGCTGGCAGAAGACCGCTGAGAACTACTGCGTGACCTCCCACGCAAAGATCCTGTACTTCCACACAGACACGCTCTTCGGGGATCTCGTGGCTGAGGATGGCACCTTCAACAAGTTGGCCTGCCACTGCAGGTCAAAGGATGAGTGCTCATGAGAGCCCTGGTTTTTGGGCCCCCTGAGCCTGTCTAAAGCCCTTCCCCCCCCCTAGGGTTTAGGGTTTACCCCCCCCCCCCCCCGGGGGACCGTGAGGTGCGCGCTCAAGAGGACAAGGGCCTTGCACGACTCTTTGGGATGGGAGGCCTCGTTCGAGGGACCAAAGCAGGGACCCTTACAAGGGACCTTGCTTAAAGATATATATATATATATATATATATATACACCTTATTTAAGGTATATATATATATATGTATATATATATACATACATACATACATATATATATATATATGTGTGGGGGTGACCCTCCTTCTACCCCTTAAAACGTGCCGTAAGTTGAAGCCTGCCTCCTCATTGCCCTTTTCTGCTTGAAAGCATTCACCTGCACTCATGGACCCGGGACGGGTTTAGGGTTTAGGGTTTAGGGTTTCGGGTTTAGGGTTTAGGGTTTAGGGTTCGGGACCGCAATGTCATGGGTTTTCGCAGCCCATTGTTTAGGGTCTAGGGTTTCGGGTCGCCGCGAAGAGTTTCGGCGAAGCACATGTGAGAGCATGATAAACACAGCGCTCAGGGCATTTCGCGGTTCGTGGTTACCAAGAAGCCTAGGGCACGCACACTAGTTTGATTCAGTGTTGTAGAGACATTAAGCCCAAGCCCCGAACGCATACTAGGAGCTACTTTCCTCTGCACCCTTTTGGGGACGTCTTTCGCGCTGCTAGTGTGCTGCAGTATTCAGCCTAAGCCCGAGAGCCTGAAACGTAAACCCTTGAACCCTAAACCTAAGCCCAAAACCCATCATGCAGCCCCGTGAACCCATTCCACCCCAGGATTTCTCAAGGTCGTAAGAGTCTTACAATTGGCTCATGCAAAAAAAATAGCGGCAGCTGCCCCGACAAGCATCCTGTTTCAAGACCCTGCACTCTAAACCTTAAACCCTAAACCCGAAACCCTAACCCCGAAACCCGAAACCCGAAACCATAAACCCTAAACCCTAAACCCGAAACCCTAAACCCTAAGCCCTAAACCTCTCAAGCGCCTTGCATGGATGCTCTCCGCGCACGGCGATCCGGCACCAGCAGGCAAAGGCTTTGAACCTGGGACCTTAGGGATTAGGGGGCTTTGGGCCTTAGAGCCTTAGGGCTTAGGGGACTTGTTGGTTAGGGCTTAGGGGTCTTAGGGGGCTTAGAGCCTTAAGACCCAATTTCCCAAAGCCTCGGAACCGTAAAAAGACTCGTTCAGTGTAGGGTTTAGGGTTTAGAGGGTTTCGGGTTTACCCAGCGGGTTCAGTTCCAGGGGAGGTTTTGTCGGTATTCACACGCTGCTTGGAGGTGGAAACCCTAAACCCTAAACCCTAAACCCTAAACCCTAAACCCTAAACCCTAAACCCTAAACCCTAAACCCTAAACCCTAAACCCTAAACCCTAAAGCCGATGGCTATCTGGTGCGTCGAGATATCCTGTTGGGGTCGGGATTTGGTCACTGCCCCGGCGCCTCCCCCCCTCGCACCAAAGCAGCGAGGAAGATGCGTTGCGCGTTGACGTCAATCTCACGTCACATAAATAAATAAATAAATAAATAAATATATATATATATATATATATATATATATATATATAATTGTATACATTATATACACATGTATATAGATATGAAGATATGTATGTATGCAAGTATATATATATACACACATATATAGATCTCATTTTCTTACAGGTATAGATCCCCAAGCCCGAAACCCCAAACCAAAACAGGCTTGGGGCTCAGGAGTTTCAAACTTTAGGGTTGTGGTTTTAGGCTTTGAGGGTTGAAGATTCTATTCGTGAGGGCCAAAGCCTAAACCCGAACCACCTAAACCTTGAACCCTGAACGCTCACCCTAGCAGCCTAAACCCGAAGCCCTGAACCCTTTCAACCCTAAACCCTAAGCCCCAAGCCCTGAAGCCTTTCCGCCACGGAAGGCTTTGCGGTTGCACAAGGCAGGGAGTCTTGGCTGCCGGCCTGTGCGTCCGAGACCTACGTTGTGGTTCATAGTGTCGTGCCTAGGGTTTCAGGTTTCTGGTTTGAGGGTTTTAGGGTTTAGGGTTTTAGGGATTTAGGGTTTTAGGGTTTTAGGGATTTGGGTTTAGGGCACCCTGTCAATCCTGCAACTAGTGTTTCAAACCCCAAAAACTGGATGTGTCAGGGTTTAGGGTTTAGGGTTTAGGGTCCAGTAGGTTTGAGAGAATGCACGTGGTCGTCTCAGAGCTACGGTCCATGTAAGCAGTCAGACATGCCGTTGCGGATGAAATGTTTCTTCTGCGTCAGGGTTCAGGGTTCAGGGTTTTAGGGTTTAGGGTTTAGGGGTTAGGGTTTAGGGTTTAGGGTTTAGGGTTTTAGGGTTTTAGGGTTTTAGGGTTTTAGGGTTTTAGGGTTTTAGGGTTTTGGGGTTTAGGGTTTTAGGGTTTTAGGGTTTTAGGGTTTTAGGGTTTTAGGGTTTTAGGGTTTTAGGGTTTTAGGGTTTTAGGGTTTTAGGGTTCAGGTCCCTGTGCCTTGAAACAATTGAAGCCCTACTCTGTGCAGGGCTGAGGGGCTTTAGGGGCTAAGGTGCTGAGGGTTATCTGCCAATTGCTTAAGGCTAAAGACCCCTACAAAAATGAAAACATATTCTTCCTTATAATGGTAACACAGGAATTATTATTATTATCATTATTATTGTTAGGGTTTAGGGTTCCATGACCTCCCAAGCCCTCACAACCTTGCACGCCGAGGCCCTGGCCTTCTCTTGTGGTTCCGTGTTCCAGGCAGCTCTCGCGTTGGAGAAGGAGACTTTTTTGGGGGATGGGTGTGCTTAGTGTTTAGGGTTTAGGGTTTAGGGTTTAGGGTTTAGGGTTTAGGGTTACGGGGGTTCAAGGTACTTGTTAACCCAATCGGCAGGGTTTAGGGTTTAGGGTTTAGGGTTTAGGGCTAGGGGGTCATGGTACTCATTAACCCAAGTATAACCGTGCTTATAACCCACTTTGAACCATGTCAGGGCACCTAAGGGGCTTACCAAGTAGGTCATGAGTGCTGTTATAGCTGGGTTTATAAGTACCATGAACCTCTAGGTAGGGTTCTTAAGGAAGGGGGGTTCATGCTGTTGGAACCTTAGGGAAGCTTAGGGAGCCTGAGGGAGTATTTTGGAATATTAGGGAAGCTCGGGTCACCTGTCCTCTCTTGAACCCCCCTCCGTTAAGAACTCGATAAATGACGGGCCCCAACCGCGTGAGATCTTTTCCCACCCTGCCTTAGCCACCCGAACCGAAGACAGGATTGGGGTTTAGAGGTTAGGGTTTAGGGTTTCAGGGCTTAGGGCTTAAGGCTTAGGGCTTAGGGTTTAGGTTTTAGGGAAGTAACCCTCAAGTAACTTAAATAAGGCCTTTTTTGGTGGGCCGCGTTTTCGGTTGGTGGCAGGTGGGGGGTGGTTCAGGTCCCACAAGAAGGCTCGAATAACCCTTGCCTAAACCCCAGACCCTAAACCCTCAACCCTGAACCCGAAACCTTGGGATGTTCCCCCTTTTACTAATCGTCCTCAATCGGGATTATCGTACCCCTATTCTAATCCCCATTAAGGGCTGCTAGTATAAGGAGGAACATCCCAACCGAAACCCTTAACTAGGTTCAAGTTGCGGAAGTATGGGATCCCACGTCATGCCCGACACGCAAAACCCCGCTTGGAGGTTCACGGTACTTATGCCCTAATTAGAACTCTACTTATAAGCTCCCTACGTCCCCTAAGTAGGTTATAAGTAGACTTCTAGCCGTGGTTATAAGTACCCATGAACATGCAAGTGGCCCTGAACCTACGCTTTTGCTCCGTGGAATACAAATTCTCAAAACACATCCTAGGCCGTCTACCCTCAATCCTCAACCCACAACCCTCAATCCTGAACCCCTAACCCTAAACCTTGAACCCTAAACCCTAAACTGCCAAGCCCCCCAAAGCCTTAGACCTTAAGCCCGAACCCCCAAACCCCCAGAACCCCCAAGAGTGCAGGAGATCGCTTCTCTGGGCGTCGTCCGCCGGCGGTCGCGGCCTAAGAAGTTCTTTAGGGCTTGGGGTTTAGGGTTTGGCGAAACCCCGAAGCCACCGAGTTTTCGTCCCTGTGAGGCTTGAGGGTTTGGGATTCCTCAACCCTAAACCCTAAACCCTAAACCCCAAACCCTAAACCCCAAGCCCTGGTAAGCTCCAAAACCCGAACCCTGAGCTTCCCTAGCCTTAAAAGGGTTAAGGTTTAGTCTACGGGAAGTTACCTGGCCCCGAGGCGGGCAAAAGGGGGGGTACGGGGGGGGGGGGGGGCCATGAGGGGGCTATAAAAAGGGTATAAGGGGTGTACTATGGCCCCATAAACCCTAAACCCTAAACCCTAAACCCTAAACCCTAAACCCTAAACCCTAAACCCTAAACCCTAAACCCTAAACCCTAAATCCTAAACCCTAAACCCTAAACCCTAAACCCCCTTGCCTTCCTTATCGGGTCCTGAAGTAGGGGCCCTCTTGGGGTTTGTTGTAGGTTGCATAAGGGGGCCTTGAGTTATGGGTTTAGCGTTTGGGGTTTGGGGTTTTTAGCAAACTCTTTCCAGGCAGCTCAAGCGTATCATCCGCTCCGGCCGGGTCACCGTGGACGGAGAGGCCGGAAGGTCAGGGGGGGACGGGGGGGGGGGGGGGGGGGTTGCAGATGTTCATGTACCCTGAAAACCCCTACGTTCTACATTCTAAGCTCTTTTGGGGGTCCGCTTGCAAGACGTGCCTCCCGCCCCCCACCCAAAACCCTATAGACCCTAAACCCTAAACCCTCTAAACCCTCTAAACCCTAAACCCTAAACCCTAAACCCTAAATCCTAACCCTCCAAGTAGGGTCGGAGGACTTAGTAAGTAGTTATCTAATAAGAGTGACAAGTAGGATAACTCCCATTGGGGTCCCTCTTAGGGTACTTAAAAGTCTACTTACTATCTACACCCCCCGACCCTCCAAGTAAACCCTAAACCTTCGCCCAAAAACCAACCATAATCTGGAGAATCGCCCAAGCGACCCATCTGAAGTTCTATCTACCCAAACATACTAGATATCCCATGGCTTAGGAGGCATAAGGATTAGGGTTTAGGGTTTAGGGTTTAGGGTACGACCGTGGAAAAAAGGCGTATCTTTTCAGGACCTAACGCACCGAGACTTGCAGGAAGCATGTCGTGGAACCCTCGAGTTTACGGCTTGTTCCCTGCACGCTTGCATCACTATAAACCCTAAACCCAGAACTGAAAAGGGTTTGGGGTTTAGGGTTTCGGGCCCTAACCGTGTAGGGTTTGGGATAGGTTCCGGGGCGATCTGGTTCAACGGTTTCGATCATTTGGCTCGGCATGGTGTGCGAAAGACAGGATGTTGGGGAAGCTTCAGGCACGGGAGAAGCAAACGAGCCCTTCTTAGGAGGCTTCAGCCCGAACAGAACCCCCTAAGCCCTAAACCCTAAACCCTAAGCCCTAAACCCTAAACCTAAACCCTAAATCCTAAACCCTCGACCCTGAAGCCTGTAGGGCCAGGCTAGGAGTGCCGCAGCTGTGCTGCGTCCTGTTCGGGGCGCTTCGTAGCCCTAAGCGAGCGAACGCGACCCGAAAGCCTTGCCACGAGCTGTCCTTCAAGCACCAGGAGAGCCCCCTGCCCCTCAATTAAGCACTGCGCTACAGGGGTCGGAATATTTTACTAACAGCATTCCCTTATGGCCCCTATATAATTTCATTATAAGAGTAAGAGCCCCCCAGAACCACATTGTAATCATTGTGTATTCGCTTCATCCCACTAGGGTCCTTCCATCCCTAAACCCTAAACCCTAAACCCCAAACCCGAAACGCTAAACTTTAGACCCTAAACCCTAGACCCAAACCCCAAACCTTAAACCCTAAAGCAGTCTTGGCCCCTCGAGCAGTAAGGTCGTGCGCAGCTTAAAAGCGGAGGCCCACGGGGAGTGTGTTTCCTTGTTTCCTCCTCGCTTGGCGGGCTTTGAGGGTTTTGAGGGTTTTGTGGGTTTTGAGGGTTTTGAGGCCCTAAACCCTAAACCCTAAACCCTAAACCCTAAACCCTAAACCCTAAACCCTAAACCCTAAACCCTAAACCCTTTTCCTTAAACCCTAAACCCTAAACCCAACTTGCTGGCCATCGGGGAGTTAGGTTTTTAGGGGTCGGGCTTCAGGGTTTGCTGTAGGGTTTCAGTGGAATGGGGGTTGACTTCTCGGGCTTAGGTGCGTCATCAGCCCAGCACCCTCACGAGTTCTCTAAATTAGGGCCCCCTTGTACTTGAATGTTCATGGTACTTACTAACCAATTGTAACTGTACTTATGACCCTACTTATAATACCCCTAAAGGGCCTTATAGGGGTTATCCCAATTATAAGTAGGGTTATAAGCCCAGTTATAACTGGTTAGTAAGTACCATGAACCTTCAAGTAGGTTTTATATCTTGCACGGCGCCCGTATAATGAGGATAGTGCAAGATCTGGGGCCTTCGAAAAACGAATCCCATTCCTAAAGGTATCTAGAAATGGACCTTAAACCTTAAACTCCAACCCTAAAGCTTAAACGCCTTCAAAACCTGAAGCTGTGGGTGAGACAGGCCCAATACATGGTTTCAGGGGAATATACCTTACAGTGTACAGGATCCTCAATATGATTTTTCCCCAAACAGTGCTTGCACAATGGGGTTCTTACGTTCAGAGTAAAGGAATTGGTGGCTGACCGCAACGGCGCGCGCGGCGGTGGGACGGGGCCTTGGTTTCGACGCTCCCGCTGTGGTTTCGCGCGAATTCCGTTGTGTTTCGATGCTCCCCCTGTGCTTTCGCGCGAATTCCGGCCTCTCGTGGCCTTCAGGCCTCTTCTGGGGGGGCCACTTAGGTTGCCGACCGCAACGGCGCGCGCGGTGGGACGGGGCCTTTCGACGCTCCCGCTGTGGTTTCGCGCGAATTCCGTTGCGTTTCAATGCTGCCGCTATGGTTTCACGCGAATTCCGTTGCATTTCGATGGTCCTGGTGTGGTTTCACGCGAATTCCGGCCTCTCGTGGCCTCTTCAGGCCTCTTCTGGGGGGGCCACTTAGGTAGCCGACCGCAACGGCGCGCGCGGTGGGACGGGTCCTTGGTTTCGACGCTCCCGCTGTGGTTTCGCGCGAATTCCGTTGCGTTTCGATGCTCCCGCTGTGGTTTCGCGCGAATTCCGTTGCATTTCGATGCTCCCGCTGTGGTTTCGCGCGAATTCCGGCCTCTCGTGGCCTCTTCAGGCCTCTTCTGGGGGGGCCACTTAGGTTGCCGACCGCAACGGCGCGCGCGGTGGGACGGGTTCTTGGTTTCGACGCTCCCTGTGGTTTCGCGCGAATTCCGTTGCGTTTCGATGCTCCCGCTGTAGTTTCGCGCGAATTCCGTTGCATTTCGATGCTCCCGCTGTGGTTTCGCGCGAATTCCGGCCTCTCGTGGCCTCTTCAGGCCTCTGCTACAAAGGCCACTTAGGTTGCCGACCGCAACGGTGCGCGCGGTGAGACCACCTGGGGCAGGATCAATAAAAACACAGGATTTAGGGGCCCTTACGGTTTAGGGTCAACCCTGCGGCTGGGTGCCGGGGGTTAGTATTATGGGGTAGCGTCCGATTTTGGGGTTGAGCATCATGAGTCATGAGCATCAGCTGGGCCTTTTGGCCCCCAAGTTCCACACGCGTGCAAAGCCGAATCCCCGAGTGGTTGGCGTCTTTTTGACCCCCAAGGGAATTCGGCCCCCCATGAACTTTTGTGTTTTTTGTCCCCAGGAGTGTCGGTGCCCTTCTGGCCTTCTTTGGCCTTTTCTGGCCCTCCTCACAGTTTGGGGTCTATGCCGGCATAATAAAGTCTATTCCCTATTACCGGGTTACAGAGGGCTCTTTGGGTGGGGGGGAATTTGGAGGAGATTGAGCGGATTGAGAGCTTGTAGTGTTGATCCTGTGAGTTTCAAGCCTCCACGGTGAAAGCCCGAAGCCCTGCAAGCCTGGAACGCCAGAACCCTACAGCCTTAAACCCTAAACTTTAGTGTTTGGAGCTTAGGGGTTAGGGTTGAGGGGTAAGAACCCTAGACCAAAGAAGCTCTTATTGCCCAATCCTACTCGAGGTGGGTGCAGAGGCGGGGCTGGCCATCGACGGCATTGAGCTGGATCGAGCTGCGGCCTGATCTTGTCCCACTTAGGGTTTAGGGTTTAGGGCTCGCAAGGCTCTGAAGCAACCCTAAACCTTAAACCTTAAACCTTAAACCCTAAACCCTAAACCCTAAACCCTAAACCCTAAACCTTAAACCTCAAACCTTAAACGCTACAGTGTAGAGTCAACCCTACAGTGTAGAGTCTAGTTTAGGGAGTTGGCGATTAGGCGCAAGCCGAATCGGCTTTCGGGTTGGGGGTGTGTGGGGGGGGGGGGGGGTTGGAATCCGCAACAAACCCCAAAACCCCCAAAACCCCCTAAAGCCCAAATTCCCACTTCTCCTTGGTGTTTCTCTCTTGACCACCCCCCCCCCCCCCCCCACAACCCCAAAGCCTGAAACTTTTGTTACAGGGTCCTGCTAGACTCCTAGGTAGGATAAGGGGGACCCTTAACCAGGGATCCTTTCCGAACACTCTTCTGGCTCTCTGGGTGTAGGGTTTAGGGTTTAGGGTCTAGGGTTTAGGGTTTAGGGTTTAGGGTTTAGGGTCTTATTGAGAGGGTCTATAGCCCCAAGGGTCCCTCTAATCCTATCCCGTACTTGGAGGGAGGACTTCCTCAGTCCCCCGACCCTCCAAGTATAGATTCCAAGCCTGAGGACCCACCTCTACTCCTCAAGTACCACAAGCCATACGATGTGATCTGCTCGATGGATGAGAAAGGCCGTCAGGACAGGAGAGCGCCTAAGCACGAAACCCGGAACCCTGAACCCTGAACCCTGAACCCTAAACCCCTACACCCCTAAACCCCTAAACCCCTAAAGCCTTAAACACTTGAAAGCCTGTTTGACTTAGCACGTGTTATGGGGACTCTAGGAGGGTTTCCAGGGGATGCTAGGTAGACTCACTGAGTCAAAAGAGCTTCCAAGTACACCCGAAACTCCATAAACCCTAAAAGCCCAAACCCTAGACCCATCTAATCCCTAAACCCCAAAAAGCCTAAAGCCTAAACCCTAAACCCTTAAACCCCCCAATCTCCTAAACCCTAAACCCCGAAACCCCGAAAGCCCCTAACCTGCGGCTCTAGGAGTGCCCTGTGACACCCTAAAACACTAGAACGCCGGTACGGTTCAGGGGTTTAGCGTTTAGGGTTTAGGGTTTAGGGTTTCTGGTTTAGGGTTTCGGGTTTAGGGTTAAACCCTGGCACCGCCTTGTAGGACTTGTCTGACGCGCTGCCTGGCCAACGAGCGCCCTGGGACGACGAGGCCGTCGGAAACCCAGGCATGGTGTCGCTTGTCTAGGGTTTATCGGGTTGGCTATTTAGGGTTTATTGTTGGATGTTCCCCCTTCTCGGGAGTACTATAATCCCGATTAAGGACTGTTCGTATAAGGGGGAACAATCCCACGTTTAGGGATAGGGTTTGTGGTTTCGGTTCAGGGTTTCGGGTCCAGGGTCTAGGGTTTTAGGGGGTGCGCGGGGTTTGGGGGTTTAGGGCGACAAGGCTCTGCGTTGACAAAATCGCATGTTTACAAAGCAGCAGACCTTCCCAAATCCAGAATTCTACATCTATCTTCAAGCCCCACCCTGTCCTCAACCCTACACCTGGAATTCAAAATCCGAAAAAAAAACCCAAACCCATACTTGGAGGTTCATGGAGCTTCTAAACACAGCTATAAAACCATGTCAGGGCACTTAAGGGGCTTATGATTGGTTAATAAGTACAGCTATATTTGTTTACTAAGGACCATGAACCTCCAAGCAGCCTAGGTGGACGAGGCCCGGCTGATTCACGGCAGCAATCGGCAAGTGCCGGGGCTCCTACTTGAAGTTCCATGGTGTATTTACTTAAACCGTAGGCCCTAAACCCTGAATGCGAAAGTCCACTGCACCTCTCAAAACACCCTAGGCCCTAAACCCTAAACCCAAACCCTAACCCTAAACCCATGGGTTTAGGGTTTGAGCCCTTGAAGGCCTGGCAGTTAGATCCATCGTTGCCCTTCTTGTAGTCCCCAGTTCCTGAAAGCAGGGGGTGCTCGGCGCAGTCTGCGACTAGGAGGTTCATGGTACTTATTCACCCAATGATAGCTGTACTTCTCACCCAATTAGAGCCATGTTAAGGCAATCAGGGGACTTATAAGTGGGTTCTGAGTACAGTTCTCATTGGGTCACAAGTCCCCTGAACCTTCAAGAAGAGCAGGACACAAGGCCTAGCAGTGAGGAGGCTGTCGAAGGTTTTTCTGGCAGGGTGCAGAGTTAGAATTCAGGGGTTCAGGGGTTCAGGGGTTCAGGGGTTCAGCGGTTCAGGGTTTCAGGGCCTTGGGCAAGAAGCCCCGCCAGCCTCCCCCCCCCCCCCCCCCAAACCCTAAACCCTAGACCCTTAAACCCTAAACCCAAACCCGCAGTTCGGGGCCGCGACTGAACTCCTCGAGGCAGGAAGTGAAGGACATCCTGGCGTCAGAAGGTCTGAGGCCGGAAGTGAACAGCATCTAGAAGAGGCCCCCCAATGGAGAAGTTTTCTTCAACCTCCGGAAGCATCTGAAGCAACTGGTGTTCTTCTTACAGGGAGTTGCGGGGCCGACGATTCGGCTTGCGGTGTCATTACTCAGAACACCCAACCAGCAACTTACGAGCAAGCGCGGTACTCATCATCCACCCGGTGCCCCCCATGATAGACATGTTTGGGCAAGTAAAAAGTTTAGTAACGTTTGATGGATCAGTCCTTCTTCAAACGGCCCTTTGTTTCTTGAGCTGCATGCAGGCCGTGGTTGTCGCTGCAACAGCCAGGCTCTTGGCGGAACCTGAGGGCTGGGGGTCAGGATTACTGTGTGCTACATTCCCCCCACAGCCCAACCTACACCAACTCCAAAAACCCCAAGCCTAAACCCTAAACCCTAAACCCTTAAACCCTACACCCTAAACCCTACACCCTAAACCCTAAACCCTAGACCCCAAACCCCAGAACCTTTGCTACTTACCCGGGTCATAGGCGGGGGTGTGTGCATGTGGCTGGAAGTCAAAGTGATCAGGCCAGCCAGCGAGAAGTGTGGACAGTTGGTTACTTGGGACCAAGGGATGTTTAACATTCCTGAGCCCCATAAACCCTGAACCCTAAACCCTAAACCACCCTAAACCCTGAACCCTGAACCCTAAACCCTAAACCCCGAACCCTAAACCCTGAACCCTGAACCCTAAACCCTGAACCCTAAACCCTGAACCCTAAACCCTAAACCCTAAACCACCCTAAACCCTGAACCCTAAACCCTAAAGCCAAAAGCAGGCCTAGGGCCTGGAACCCGAAACCCCCGGAGCCGACCCTTCAACCCTTAACCCAAACTTGACCCGTGAGAGCACACCGGCTCAGGGTTTAGGGTTTAGGGTTTAGGGTTTAGGGTTTAGGGTTTAGGGTTTAGGGTTTCGGGTTTGGGCCTAAGGTACCATCGGAGTTTGGAGCTTAAGATTTAGGGGTTTAGGGGTTCAGGGCTCTTAGGGTTTAGGGTTTCAGGCACTACGTTCCCGTAAAAACCCGAGAAAGGCCACATCCCCGCCCTCTCCCAGGGCTCCCTTATGAACCCTCAGGCTCTGCGTACCATGGGGTTTTAGGGTTTAGGATTTGGGATACGCTTGGGCCTTAAGGCTATATAGGAAACCCTTCAAGGCCAAGTATATACCATTAAAACCTAAACCCTAAACCTGCGTGACCCCCCTCGCCGTCCTCGGAACTCTGGCGAAATGTGAAACTGTCCTTACCTTTGGGCTTCTGGGTCCCTCAAATGCTGAGCTGTGGTCGCTTTTGGACGTCCGTTTTTTCCTCAACATGCGAAGCGCTCGTGCACTGTTGGACTTCTGGGCTCTGGCTGTCTTTGAGACGTGGTCATGATCCATTGGAAGGCTCTTGCGTGTCCCCATGGTCTCTCCCTGTTCAGGGTCTACGATGGCACCCTAAAACGCCTGGGGTTTCACACCCTTTTTGGTCTCAGTCTAGTTACGTGGTCCCTGAATCTGGGCCTGTACCTTCGTTAAAGGGTTCTGAGGTATGGGACCCTGGGTTGTATAGGGTATACAAGGGGTATATACGGGGTCCCCTTTGCAAGGGCCCATACTAATAGACCATGCACCCTAAACCCTAAACCCTAAGCCCTAAACCCCAAACCCTAAACCCTAAACCCTAAACCCTAAGATTTGGGGAAGGTATCATCCTGTCGGTCGGCTCGACCGTGACACGACAGGCGCTTTCACGGACGTGGGGGGGTTTAGGGTTTAGGGTTTAGGGTTTAGGGTTTAGGGTTTAGGGTTTAGGGTTTACGTAGTGTTTAGGATTTAGTGTTTAGGGCTCAGGGCGGCACTTGGGGTTTAGGCATCCCTGAGCGGGTATATGGTCAGCTGTTTAGATGCAGGTCCCTTTCAAATACCCTGTCATGTCATCGACCTTTCTGTGTAATCAGTGCGTCTCAGAAACCTTCGTTCGAAGAACCGACCATTTCGGATACCCAGGCTGAAGCCCCTAAAGCCAAAACCCTGAAATCCTTGCGCCCGCAGCTATAGCTCTCCAGCACAGACCCTTGCTTCGTTGATCTTCAGATTGGGGCTTTTTAGGTTTAGTTTAGGTTGACATGCGCGAAAACACTGGCAGGCATGTGCTTTGGGGTGCTCGCCAATGCTGGTGCTGCGCCAGTTGAATTGGGGGTTTAGGCTTAGGGTTTAGGGTTTAGGGTTTAGGGTTTAGGGTTTAGGGTTTCATTGGGCATGTTCAGATTCTCATGGCTCGGGTGCACAAGCCACTGAAGAGTAAGCGATACTTGTGACCCTACTTGCCGGGGTCCCCAAGCTCCCACTCAGCTCGGAGTCCCAAATATGACCCTAAACCCTCAACCCACAAGACCCAACCCAAGCCCTAAACCCTAAACCCTAAACCCTAAACCCTAAACCCTAAACCCTAAACCCTAAACCCTAAACCCTAAACCCTAAACCCTAAACCCGAAACCCGAAACCCGAAACCCTAAACCCTAAACCCTAAACCCTAAACCCTAAACCCTAAACCCTAAAACCCTCAACCCCCAACAGAAGAGCTGTGCCAGGACTTCTCCTCATGAGCCGGGATGGCATGCTCGGCCCGCAGAGCTTTTATTGTTTTTTTTTCTCTTCAGGGTTTAGGGTTTCGGGTTTAGGGTTTAGGGTTTAGGGTTTGGGGGTTTAGGGACTTGAGCACGCGATGCATGCTTTGGCTCCGTTGTCTTCAAAGCTGGTTGTGTTTCCAGAAGTCTTGGTGGCTCAGTAAAGAGCAGCCAGCCCCAAAAAAGGGCTACCAAGTTTTTTGTCATTTGTTGCAACATTGGTCATGTTCTGTCAGCGCCGGTACAAAGCATACATACCTACATACGAGTACCGCAGGCATCGTCTGCACACACCATGCGCGCGCTCTGTACACAGAGTTCATCTGGCACTCAAAGCGATACATGCACAGAGATTCGCCTCTTGAGCCCTGCGTCTTTCAAGTCGACGTGCTGCTTCAAGAAGTAAAGGATCTGAACCAGACTAACCATGCAACCGCGCACGTGTGTATGCACAGTCCAAGTATCCATGCACCGGTCCCTCTAGCTTCCCAAACAAAGCAGACCAATGCTGTAATCGTACATGCTTACATGCCCGCGCGGTCCTTCTGAGGTCTAGACAAGTTTAGGGTCTGGGGCTTAAGGTTCAGGGATGTATAGGGGTTAGCATAGGAGCCCAGTTGATTCGAAATGGGTATGTTGGGCATGGGGGGGGGGCTGATTTTGGTAGCTATGTGGTCTCCTGTATTGGAGAGCACGGCGAAGAGCGAACGATTTTGGGGTTTAGGGCTTAGGGTTTAGGGCTTTTGGGTGCCCACTTCTAAGCCCCTTAAGTGCCCTAGCATGGCGATAATGGGGTCATAAATGCAGTTATAGTTGGGTTAATCGGTACCATGAACCTGCAAGTAGAACACCTTGAACCCTCAACATCCCTCAACATCCCTCAGCATCCCTCAGCATCCCTCAACATCCCTCAACATCCCTCAGCATCCCTCAACATCCCTCAACATCCCTCAACATCCCTCAACATCCCTAAACCCTGTAAGCTTCAAGCCCTGAAGACTCTATACCTTCAATGCAAGACGCGTAAGACCCCACCCCCTGAAACCTAAACCCGAAACCCTGAGCCCTAAAACCTTAAAACCCTACACCCCAGACCCTCAACTCTAAACCCCTAAAACCCCCAAACCCTAAACCCTAAACCCCAAACCCTAAACCCTAAACCCTAAACCCTAAACCCTAAACCCTAAACCCTGAGGCTCACCTCCAAGCTTTTGAACCCTTCGAGAGAGGTGCCCGGATCCTGGCATGCTAACGCTCTTCGTAAGTCGGCTTAGTATCCCCGAGGAACCCCATTATGCGGTTTAGGGTTTAGGGTTTAGGGTTTAGGGTTTAGGGTTTAGGGTTTAGGGTTCTTAGTCAAAAGGGCCTCCAAGTAAGGTTTCAGGGTTTAGGGTTCAAGGTTCAGGGTTCAAGGTTCAGGGTTTGGGGTTTGGGGTTCAAGGTTCAGGGTTCAGGGTTCAAGGGTTCAGGGTTTAGAGTTTAGGGTTGTAGGGTTTTAGGGTTCGGGGGCATGCAGGGGCTATGGGTTCAGGGTTTTGGGGTTTTAGGGTTTGTGGTTTTAGTTGGGGCGGGGCTCTACCATCATGTGCAGGCCTCCACTATAACAGAAATGCTTGCCGGTAGCGGGGCTTGTAATAGAAACTGTAACGGAGAAGATCGGAGCTGTAGCTGGTTTGTCGCGGAGCTGTAACGGAGCCTTGTCGAAGGCTGCAACGGAGCGCTAGCGGCTGTAGCGATGCTGTGACAGAGCTGCACCGGAGCCGTAGCAGAAGCAGCAACTGGATAACGGACCTGTAATGGACCTGTAACGGAGCTGTAACGGAGCTGTAACGGAAGCTGTATACAGAGGTGCAAGCGGTACCGGAAGCTGTAAAGGAGCTGTAGCGCAGGGCTTAGGGAAATAATTTCAGGGATCCTCTACCATAACCCTAAACCCTCAACCCTAAACCCTGAACCCTAAACCCTAAACCCTAAAAACACTGAACCTCAGAGTGTGTTTGGTTTGGGGTTTAGGGCTCAGGCTAGTTCAGGCTTTAGGGCTCTGGGAGTCCGGTATTCAGGGTTTTGGTGTTTAGGGTTTAGGCTTGAGCTAAGACCTCAGATATTTCTGAGGGCTCAGGGTTGGAAACTGTGAGGTTCAGGGTTTTCAGGGTTGAGGCTTAAAGCGTATGAGTGTCCGCAAGAACGGCAAGGCCCCGCCGGTACGAGGCAGTTGTGGATGGCGACGTCACCAAGCCCAACGACCAAGGCCTGCGAAGTTGACGTCACCCCCGTAGCCTCAACCCCAAACCCTTAACGCCCTAAGCCCTACCCCATAACCCTGAACCCCTTACGGCCCCTAAACCCCTAAACACCTCGCCCAAGGGCCCTAAACCCCAA